CCAGCAAAGTATCTGGCGGAATCAGCCAGCCAGCCACCAAAAGTACCCGGCGGCTGGCGGAATCAGCCACCTAAAGTATCCAGCGGAGTTAGCCGGTAGGCAGCCAGCAGAAGTATCCGGCGGAATCAGCCAGCCAGCCACCTATCAAAGTATAGCCATTAAGCCTAGGCTTCGTGGGGAGTACAGCCATTTGACAGGCGTCCAAAAGCGCGTCAGAAAAAGCAGTCTTGACATGTCTTGACTATTCTTGACTTTTGTTGATGATTTTCATGCGCATTCATCTTCACTACCAAATGAGTAGGCCTTTCCAGGCCGCGCCCCATTTTGTAGCAATCAGTGACCTTGGCCCCCTCCATTTTGTATAATTGGCCTATCCCCTCCCTACAAAATGAGTCCATTTTTTTGGGAGTCATTTTGTAGGGATGGGACGTTGGTCGCTGACATTTTGTAGTGATTTTTACTACCAAATAGGGACCCCGACCCCTCACCCTAAATATCAACGGGGATCTCACATCGAAGTGGGACACCCCCCCGTGTTCGTAAATGAACGGATACATAGTCCGGCAACATGTCCATCCATTTCCACTTCCTTAGAGTGTACACCTTATTCTGTGGGTAAACCCATGTCGAGGTGAATACCATCGTCGCGCATATGGACTGAGCACGGTTGACTTTGTTGGTGAGTCATTGCCCGCCCTATTGTCACAAAGCCTTGTTTTCGATTGTCCGCCCTATTGCGGGGAAAGAAGATTGATGGAATTGCCTTAGGGTGGTTGCTGTCAGGTTGGTTTGTCAGCTCCTTGCTTCCTCCGACAGCTGGAAGGTTTATACCTCGTGAAGGGAGCGAGGTCTGATCGGCCCTGCAAGTAGTCACAGGCATGGGTCCATGTCAGGATTTTTTGGAGGGTTTCATAATAATATGCAAATTAATTGATATATATATATACACATACATTAATAATACATATATGCATAATTAGATATGTACTGTATACCTAGAACCTGAGTGACCTCTGTTTTTTGAATCAAAACATTGTCTTTCCTATCAAAACACCGGTCAAATTAAATGGGTCCGTGTATATATATACCCTAGGAGTCCAACCACCATCGATTTACTGTAACAGTCTCTATGTTAAATCATACAATTTAGTAAAAAACCAGGTCACCCATTTTAAAAATAGTCGCCGTAGCTCCCAGTATTTAAACTACATCACCTTTGTCTTTTTCCTCGCCTGCACAGTGCAGCTCGCCCAGAATCCATCTGAAACGCCGCCCAGAATCCAACCGCTTTTTCTCACCACACGGAAGAATAATCGGAACGTGGAAGAAGCCGCGGCACGGGCAGGATGGATTGCAGAAGATTGGCAACCTGAAGATTGGGACATAGGCCGGGCAGGGGGAAGAGGTGCAGCTGAAGCAGAGCTTCTTGGAATTCCTCCAAAACTGCCGGTTCCAAAACAGCCTGTTTTGGGCTCAGTCCGATCAGATCTGCAATGATGCTTTGACGTTTGAAAAAAAATAAACAAACATCCATTGTTTTCCCCCACAATGTGTCATACTTTTAGAATTCATGTGCTACGAAAAAAGCATGACATCTGGGGTTCTCCATTCAATTGGACGATCTGGACCGACTCGTCCGCACGTTCATAACGCTCGTTCACCTGCAACACCAACAGATCCGATTGGGTGGTCACGCACGTTCATAGCGCTTTTTCCCTGAGAATTTCCTGAGAGTCCAGGAAAATGACTGAACTACCCCGAGGTCCTGGTAGTGGATGGCTTGACTACCAGGTGGAGTAGCATGAGTCAAGTCACGGTAGTTCTGGGTTTATGGGGTGGATTCCGGGGGGATCTGCATGACACCTGGTGACCTTGGACGGAGCCAGGTGACCTCCAGATGCAGAGGCTGAAGCAGGCCGCCGAAAGGCACCGCGAGATGGTCGTCGCGTGGACTCTGGGGATCGTCTTCTTGCGACTCGTCTTCGTTCGATGGGCGGGATGCACATGGATGCACATGGATCGCCGAATCCACTGGAGGGTGCATAGACTGGTGTGTGTAGCTCAAATAGGGAGACCCACAGGCAATGACCCTTTGGAAGAAGGACAAGAGCGACCGGTCTACTCATTGGTTTGGGAAGTCTCCATATGTCTCCCTCTTAAGATATACAGCAAATTCGATTCTTTTTGCTCCAGACCTTTGTTGACCTATGAGTCAAAGAGTTTCATTGGTGTTGGCTTTGCTCTTGGGACATATGTGGAGTTGATCCGACAACTTGCAACAGCTCAAGGATACTCAGCTGTATGTCCTAATCCTGGAATCCTTCAATTCTGAGTGCGGAGACCATCCAAGCTAGAGCCACCCAAGACCGCTACCAAACCAGAGATGTGTCGGTGCTGGAGGGGTTTATCAGTAGATATTCGTAGCCTTTTATCACCTCACAGTCTCGTCGAAATACCATCGTCTCATACCGCCCGGGATCGCCCGGAGGCACAGGGAGTGGCAGGCGCTGGTGGACAGCATCCGCTCGGGACCCCAAATCTGGCATCCTTACAACTTACCATAGAAAGGTGCACACAAACAGACCTGCAAGAGAAGGAAGACAGTAAAAGACACCCAACATAAAGGCACCAAGAATTTGATGCCCCTTGAAAATAAGGCAATCCCAAGTAAAGAATTCTGCAGACTAAGTAGCTCCAAGTGTAGACAACATGTTGGAACCCAAGTTGTTAATGGGAGGATATGTTGAAGGCAAAATGGTCTAGTCTAGGGCAGTCCGGTTTGAAGCTAAAACGATCTACGGGCTCGCACCAGCAGGAGGTGTTTGATGCCAAGGAGCAGTGGGATTGGCTTATGGCCAACATACGCTGGGCCTCAAGGGAGGCTGATCAGCAGCATTTGACAAAACTACCCAGACAGGGGCACAGGTTGGACAAGATGTTGATAAGTTTCACTAACTTTGAGACTGGAGGGATTGGTCAATCATGATGGGGCTCACACGCTTTGTGCCTTTGACCCCTGGTTGAGGCATGTGCGGTTTGTGTGTGTGTGTGTGTCTTCCGGTGCTTGAACAGCATCACCAGCACATGTGCAGACAGTCTTTGTGGCAAAGAAGGCGCTTGCATGCTGTACAGCTATGTGAAAGCTCCCAGCATTTGTGCGTTTCTGAAATTGTTTTGAATGCGTCCCAGTTCCAGACGCCCTGACTACAGGCGATTCTAGTCACCCGTATTGGATGAGCAAGGTTATGTTCATGTTCAGCTACATCTCCGTCAAGACTCTTGGCTCAAATCCCAAGTGGTGGTTTAGATATATGGGATTGGCCATACACAGTTTTTCGGATCTAGGCCAAGAGTTCTGACACGTCTTTGTTTCCGAAGGACAGGGCCTTTTTGGGGCAAACTACCCTGAAGAAGCGGGCGAAGCGCGCGAACGGCTGTGAGGAAAGGCCTACCAGCAGGTCATGAGCCGTGATGACCCTGAAACAGGTTGGTGGCCCAAGCAGTCGGCAGTCGAGGTGTCACACCAACAACTACCCCACCTCTCACATGACATGCCCCCAAAAGCACTCTTGGCACCCTTGGCTCAGAATTTCAAGACTATATGTTTGGCATTTTTGGGCAAACCTTAACATGCAGACAATCCCAATCCATGTATGGAATAGTTCAGACAATCACAATAGAGTAGGTTCAGTCGATGCTTTAAGGCACATGTCTCTTCGCCACATAGATGTTGGGATTCTTTGGGGATTCATTTAGATTGCTGGAAGTTCATCCATGTGTTGGTCTTCAAAGGTCGACTTGTGGAGGAAGTAATACAATAAGTAAAACAATATGAAAAACTCAAGTAAAACATCCCGGAAGTACGTCGAGTGAGCTCTTCGAGTGAAGAACCACGGTCTCATGAAGCCACAACGAACATGACGCGTGTCAAACGGAAGTGGGGGTGGAATCAATTCGGATTCGCTCGGATTGGCTGTTGAACCTGTTCCGAACCGAGCAACCTCAGTCGATACATGTCGATACCAAACGATCTCACAAGGAACCTACATGGAAAGAGCTCCTCTCCATTAGATTTGGAGCTCCTGCGATTTGGGACGGCAGAAGAAGTCGATTCATGATCCCCCGGACTACGCCGTGGTGTTCGACGGACGGTGAGCTAGAATCCCCCAAAGGCAGATAAAGATCTTTAACGGTTATTCAGGTTCTTCAAAGTGGCCCTTTGATATCCTGGTTTGAAGTCACTTGGACCTATCAACAGTCACTTAGTAAGACTCAGGACTCCAAACAGGTCGATGAAACTGGACTTTGGATGTTTGACTTCAAATCACCTTCGGTACCCAAAGAATACACAAGCCTTCTGATCAGGGGTTTCAGTATGCACTTCTACCGCATGGGCTGAGCTTGTTTAAATGTGACAACTGCATCAACCTAGCCACACTCCGACTAACTAGGAGCAGCTTAAAATCAAAAAGAATGTGTCAACCAGATTCCAAAACCGATTTGGAACGAAGCCTTTGCTTGCGTCAATTGTTCATAATGGTTCATTTGGTTTATCCACCAGAGAGTTTACCCATCCAGATGGTACACTGATTGGGGTGCCTGCACAGCAGTTTGTGCCTGACAGAGCAGTAGCTGTTTACGAGTCAGATCAACAGCAGACGACAGTCAGATCAAGGTGAACGCTTCGGACGCTTTCGGTGAGGCGTTTTGTTGACCAAATAGTAAGCTAGCTTTGCCTTCAAACCTCTGCACACCCTAATGTTTAATTTGTTGCAACTAAAACATGGAGATAATAAACTGAACAAACATGAACAAACAATGACTTTCTGTCGCAGCCACAGCGGACTGACTTCGATTTCGACTCGACGAGAGACTCAACCACATCTGATCACTGTCAACGATTCTGATCACTCTCAGACACTTTCGTCGCATCAGTTTGCAAGGCGTATGGATGGTGTTTTCGTCAAACCATGCGTCTGTTCAGCTCTGAAGGGATGTTCATTCCAGTACCTTCCAGCCCAAACAGTTGACCCCGTCCTCGCGCTATGTCTCCGTCCTCGCGCTCCGCGCGGCCGGATGATGTGCACTTAGAGCTCAGCGATGTGGAGCCCATCAAGTCTTCAGGAAGCGATATGCAGCCAGGGCGATGGATGGAGATGGGGTGTGTAGCTCAAACATGGGCTGGAACATCTTATAGTGATCCCCAAATAGATAGAAACGGTTTCCAATGGGGATCTGTTCTATTGATTTGGGGGGGTCTATATTGGGTCTACAAGCTTCTGGCGAGCGCAAGAGCAAAAGAGGGTGGTCTATACATTGACTCCTCAAACCGTAGGTACAATAGAGTGACCTTCCACTTCGGTTCGGAAGAGAGACCAGTCCATCCAGTCTGCTTGGGGTCGATGGATGGTCACGGTCTCCCCATCAAAAGACTATAGACAGATAGGCAGATTCCGTTTTTTGATGTGGATCTCCGCAGTACTGCAGGATACCAGTTAATTCATGTTTGCCCGCTACAGGCATCCCCAGCCACAACCTGCAAACCAGGCTTCCCGTGTTCAGCACATTTTTAGCGAACCCCATAGAGGTTTGGAAGATGACCAACCCACGACGAAGGCCCTCCCTGGCGAGTTGCTTTGGAACGATCGGATTTGAACTCGTGCCCTTTGAAACTTCCTTCCCGCGTGGACGCAGGAAGCACACGGGTGTTTCTCGTGCCGCCAAAAAACATGGTGCAGGACGTGAGATCCCTCGCGAGTTGGAGACGATTCAAGAGCAGCTGGAGCAAAAAACAGCTCCTTGGCTTGATATGGCTCGATTTGCACCTGCAAAGCCTGAAGTTCCTGAACTCAGGTCACCTAGTCAAACCATTCTAAGGTTTAGATTCAGTATTGGCTCCGGCCAAGAAGATGGCAATGAAGGGTTGACTCTCATTTGGGAGGGATCACAACAAAACCCTTGAAAGGAGTACTGGGGAAACGGACAATTATAGGTGTCCCCTGATCAGAACATTTGAGCACCAATTATTGGGCACACATCGCGACACTCTACGAATCAGAGCGTGGTACCTGGGACTTCCGAAGACGTCCCTAGGGGGTGAGATCCGGAGCACGCCCAGGGTTCAATGATGAAGGCTTAAAGCCTCCTTTTCACCGGATGCTGATCATCACAAGGTCTCCAGTGGTGTCTAGTGCTTTGCTTCGGTGGCAATGGGTCAAGAATGTCAGCGCATGGTTGGCCGCTCAAATCGAATGTTTTTACGTAGTTCCACGAACAGCCCGAAGAACAACTTCTCCAACTCTCACTATTGTTCGACAGTCCTATAGGCCCTTTTTGTCCAACTCACAAAGAAGAACACCCACGAACTCTGGCGCAGTGGACCTGCAGTCGGACCCTGCGCGGTTCGCCGTGCGCCGTTCGCCGTTCGCCGTTCTTCTTCGGCCCGAGGATTGGAAGCTGCGGCTCTCTGCACTGAAGCACCTCCAGGGCTTGGTGCTGGGCAGCCACGAGGCACTCGTCGGTGACGTCACGGTGATGTGCGGGGAGCATTTGATTCCATTCATACTCCCTACAAGATACCAGAATGGTTCTATTAGAAGGTGTTGCATGGATTTACATGGGTGTGGAAATGTACTAGGGAGATCCCCAACCAATGGGCTTTGGTCTAGTTTCCTTCTTCCAGGAGGTTTTTGGTATATTTTGGGATGGTCTCCCTATGTTCATACACACCCGCATGGTCCATATATATAATTATATCTATAGCATATATGGCACGTGTTATTCCTCAGACTCCGACGGCTTCGGGTCGATGGCTCAGGTGCTCCGCCCGGTGCTACCACGTTGCCGTGAGGCGCTACTCAATCAGGCGCTGCCCGGTGACGCGTGGGACGATGTGGTTCGGATGGGGCTGAACCGCTGGTGACGGAGACGCGGAACGCGCGTGCGCGAGGTCACGGAATTGGACCATGTTTGATCCGCCTTTGGCAGAAGTCTGTCAAGCACATTGGGCAACGTTGGCTCATGTAAGCTCAATTGCTTTCAACAAGGGGGAGGTTCGTTGATGGGTCGAAGGCCGAAGAAGCTGAGGCAAAAGCTCTGAGGCTAAAGCCTAGCCAGCTGTTGGGAACTGGCAACAACGCCAAAGGATGCCAAAGGCAATTTTCTACCAAGCAGAGTGTGACGATCCTGAACCGTCCAAACGACTTGAACACCACAATGCCTGCGCTGAAGATGGAAATTGAGTTGCAAGCATGTCATTCGGAAGAAAACTTGTGGGACCAATCTAGACTATCCAGCCTAGCATTGTCTAGCATCGTCATCATATTCCTCTATGCTTGCCTCCCTTTGTGCTGAGCTTTAGGCATTTGTTTCCTGTGCCGGAAGCAAAGTCGGCCAACATTCGTGAGCAACGATTCATGGGCCTCCCTGCGATTGTTGGTGGCATGCTTTTTTTAAACATGTTTGAACCACCTTTTGTAGTAGGTCGAAACAGGAATTCCGTGCGGTCCTTCTAACACTTCACAGCTTGCGATCGCCCGAGGGCCCCTCTCGGGGAGTGCCAGGTTCCACACCCATCCTGGAATTGCGCTGGCTAGCTGAACTCCGAACTCCGCTTGTCTCAGCTACTTGTACCCCTAAGATCACCATGGACTGTGTAATACCATATATACATTTCTGGAATCATCATGAAGTGGATGGCATGGCCCCTTAGAAGACCATGGGCGCTCGCCATTTATGGATCAGAAGATGGGGAATCCTGCACCTACTACAGCCCGCCGTCTGAATCCGAAACTACTGCGGTCTCAGAGTCTCTGCCTCCAGTATCCCATGTTCTGCTCCGAGCAGAACAAGCCAACATCGGGAGAGTCAGACCGTACCAGGTGAAACTCCCACGGGTTGATTCCCCATGGTTTCGGTTCCACTCCTCCAATCACCCAAGTCAAAGCTGTTCTCACTCCTCGTTTGGTGTGCTCATTCCGTTGAGGTACAAGACCTTCGTTCCGCCTTGGTGCGCGAGGCGCGGTCCACAGATGCCACACGGTGGCGGTATGGCGGTGGGTCGCAGCAGGTTGGGCATGTTCGATCATGTTTGCGACATGCAATCATCAAAAAGGTGGAGATGGGTATACTCAAGGATCTTCGAGTGGGTCACGCAGTGGTGGATCTTTTGGAACTGCGGAACTGCTTCGTCGTGGCTTCAACGCACTGCGCGGAAGCCACCGGGGGTTTGTGGTGAGATTCCCACACTGGAGAGTCTACACAGGCCAGTTTTGCCTCAGGTCCCCAGTTTGTTTCGGTATCGAGAAAATCATGAATCAAATTCATTCAATTTCAACATAGATTCCATAGATTCTTGAACAATTCTCTTTCACAAGATGTCTTCTCCTTTAGCTTGCGGTGCCAGGCGTGTGTGACCATACAGCTCATGGCCAGCACCTTCCGTCACGACTTCGACTTCTTCGCTCTGCCCGCGCTGCGGGTGCGGAGCCCATGAGCGAACCGCCCCGGAGCGGGGCCCAGACGAGGTGGTTTTTTGCTGTACTTTCTTTGGACCCATCAGGTTGCCAGCACCAAAAACACATTGGGAAGTAGTTGTCCAACCTTTTCTTCACTTTTTCAGCGTTCATTTATTTGCTTTGCTTGGATATATATATATATATATCCTTTATCCAGTCTATATGGCTGTGGCGCCAACATCAGATCCCAAGCACCAGGTTGTGGTCCATCATGGTCCATATTCGACTGGTACCTCTTAGGAGTCTTGAAGCAAGACCTGCCAACACCTCACCGTCCCGTGCTCTGCAGCACTGCTCGTATCTGCTCGTGTCACGCCGCAGGTGCTTTTGAAGAGCAGCTCGGTGACGATCCTGATCATCGCTGAGAGTTGCGACTCGGTCGCCGTTGGCTTCACGGGTTTCGCCCAGCGACCGCGCGTTGCGGGGCGTTCGTGGAAACGGTCGTGGAAACAGGAAACAGATGCGGTCGGATTGACCACAAGGTACCACAAAGAGATTCTGCTTCCTACAGGTTACTTGGTGTGACCTCATTTTTCTGGAGTTGGTCGTATAAAAACACTACTCAATGAGGTCTTCAGGACCAGGTTGGACCTGGATCAGACTGCTCGGTACTGCTCGGGGCTCCGCCTCTCATCCTTTTCGTCGCAGCTAGTGGCGGGATTCGGACCGTGTCAGCACCGTGATGCAGATCGGGTTTCATTGCAAACAGATCCGACTTGTATCTCCCAGCATGCCTGAAGGATCCAGATGCTTTGGGGTCTGCAACTGAACCGTCATCATCCACTGAAACCTAGTAGATTGGGGAGGTGACCGGGCGCAGATGCGTTTCGACCTGAGGCAAATTTCGGACTCTTAACGACGGTTTTCGGACTCTTAACGAGCGGGCGTTTCACGGGGTACTCCGCCATGGGATTGAGTGAGATTTGTGTTTCAGGCTGAGTGTTCTCATTCCATTCGCTTGACAAACCAGACACCAAGTCGTCCACATGACACCAAGGTGTCTTTGAAATCACTCTGTCAAGGATCGGCCCCCAAAAAAGATTCACAATCCAGACCATGACCAGTTTTTTCTCCTAAACAGATTCACAATCCAGACGAATCCCACTTCTCCCACTTCTCCTCTTCATCCCATCACACTCGACCAGTTTTGCGCAGGCCACCAGTGCGCTCTTGCCGTGGTCACCCATTGCCGGACCGTCAGGGTCTTTCAGGCGCGCCTCTGCTCTTGTTTCGTCGAGTGCGGCGCCCTTCGGCATCCTTCGGCACTGAACTCTCAGACCAGGACCTTCCAGGTCTGGTGGTTTTAGAAGCCTAACAGGTTTCTGGGCACCTGTTGTCACCAGGAAACACCTGGCCAGGAGGGTCCAGGGAAATTGACACTGAGAAAGAAAAGGATGGACCACTGCGTTTCGGCTGGTTGTCTTTTCGGCTGGATGGTTCAGGTCGGCTGGATGGTTCAGTGTCAGAATAAGGGGGTTGAAGATGGTGAAATTGGTTCATTTTTGGATCTCTGGATGTTGAGCCAGCTCTCAAGACTGCTTTATGTCCCCAGAGATGACACGAGATAACACGGAGGATAGAGGCCGGGCTTGAGACTCAAGCCTTAGGCACTTCGGGAGTCGGTGGTATGAATCATATAGCGTTGGCCAAAGGCTGCCTCTTTGCCTGCCTTTGGTGTGCCCAAGCTAGCCCTAGCACGAGGTCTTGCTGGAACAGCTGAAGGTCAAGAATGGCTCGCAGCGGAAGAATGCCTTGGAGCTGGTGCTGCTGGCTCTGGAGTGCTACAGCACCACAAGCTTAGTGCTTTGGCCACAGGTCTGACCGGAGTTGTGCGGAGAGACCCCAAGAATGACGAAGAAGCGTGAGCTAAAGGGGAGTGCAGCCTTTGTGAACAGATTCAATGCAACTTGAGTTTGGATTTGAGATGATTTGACCCATTTAAGCACACCAAGGCCGTTTAGGAAGTCTATCTTTCTGCGAGTGGATATGCCGTTCCAGAAAGTCAAAGTTCCAACAGTGGCGGGAATGGGAGGTGACAGAAATTGATGTGGTGGGTTTGGTCATCTAACTTCTTGATGGAGGTACAGAAGCTGTACAAGAAAGCGGACCATGACCCTGCTTAGTCCTAGCTTGGGTCCGCTTGGATCCAGGGATCCACCATACCGACCCAACCCGTCGGGCTTTCCTTTCGGATGCGGAGTTGGATTCAGCCACGTGACACACACGGATTGGATCTGGTAGACGATTGTGCCACGAACCCGGAGAATCCTCATGCTTACGTGGAGTTCACCACCTGCCAGGCAGAGGATTTGTTTTCAGTCATCCTTTCGGAGCTTTTTTGGGCCATCCACGGAACCATGAGTATTTCAGGGAGTGTAAAGCTTGAGAATACAGGTGGAACTGGCCCAGCTGGTGGAGGATGACATCTTCCTGGCTCCCATCCGGCCTGTTTCGAACAGACAAATGTGATAAAGCCACTTGAAAGAGCATTGGCTCAGTGGTTTCTTCAGCAATCCGTAAAGATCCTTTTAAGTACTCTCAACTAGATCAACCACAGCAGAGCGGCAGTTCGGCGCAAGCATGCCAACTCCGGGCCAGTGTCACATCCAGAATCCACTCGACCTCCCAAGTGTCACAGCTCGAACGACACTCCCCAAAATCATAATGGAAGTGGAACATGGATGAAAATGGCACACTTGAAAGACCGGCCATGCTCCTCTTCAAACAGGGGGTTGTCCACTTTCATGTTTATTGCACGGTGTAGCTGTTTCGGGGAAAAATGATGACCTGCTTTTCAGCCGAGGAGCGGCACATCGAGTCTCTACAAGAGGCCGGCAGCGATGGCTGCAGAGTGGTGATTATTGCATTGAGAAGACCTCTGTTTTGTCTCTAGTGAACAGCTTTCTGTCCTTCAGCTGTTCCTTAATCTGCTACACCTTGGATCTCTTTTGCCAATCCTGTCTACATACTCTCCAGTCATTAAGCTTTAGCACTTTTTGGGGGACGATTCTCATAGAGTCTCGAATTTGTACCAGGACCATCCGACCATCTGGGTGTCCTGGCGTTCGACTACCCAACACTCTCCGGGAGGAGACCACCCCCAAATGGTTGGATGGTTCCGGTAGCTACAACACTAGGGTCTAGAATGGGTGACCCAACTACTGGAAGACCCTCCAGGGTCACCCAGATGGTCGGAGGGCTCCTCACTTTTTGGGAACCATCGAGCTCTTCACATCGACGGAGGTTCGAGACCGGTGCGTTCGAGACCGCCAGGCGCTGCGGGCCGCGTTGGAAGACCCCCAGCAGCCCGTGCGCGAGGCGGCAAGGCGGTGCTACGTGGCCTTTGAAGCCAAGTTCCAGGCGCGTTTCGGAGGACGAATGACATCCGCAGTGGACTGGGGGTGAGATGAAGCAGTTGAAACGGGGATGAGATATGATGAGATGGTGAACATGCTGATTGTGTGTGTGTGTTTGGGGAGAGGAGTGTGATGTCCTCATGGCATGAAGCAGATGAAGCAGTTATGTTCCGTTCACAAGAAAAGTCACTCTTTTCAAAGCGATTCTGATTTATAGGTTCTATGATGTTCTAATTCTATAGCTAAGCGTTTGACACTATATCTGGATCTGCCCAGTCTGCCAGTGGTGCCAGTCGCAGGAGCGCGCCCAGCAGTTCTGCTCCCAGTTGGACGCCCCACGGCAGCGCATGCTGCGGAAAGATGCGGAGCGCGCCGCAGGAGGCGCCATGGCGCGGGGTTGGAGACAGCAACCTCTGCCGGTGGCAGAGCGGTGCTAGATGCGAACATGGTCTTGGTGTACATGACCATGCGTGTTGTCTCAGCATTTAGATGTTGGATGATGTTGGATCATTGATCACAGGGATGCGATTCAAAGGAGAAGACATGATAAGATTCTAGGACCTAGGGTTATTATTTTTATTTGTTGTTCCTTTCACCAGTTAGTTTGGATGGCTCTTGATTGGTGAGCCATAGCCATATCAGTTGGCCTATTGGACGGGACATGAAGGAGCAGCATCTCCATGTTGTACCACCACCCATCCCTTTTAGCATACTGAAACTGCAGTGTCAGTCTCCCAAGAAAACATATTTGCACTTCCTTCCAGCCCCTTTGTCAAGTGTAGATGTTCACTGTGATGAAGCAAAACCACTACATGGATGTGTTCGTCAAAACCAAAAAGGACCACATGAAGCACCACCTGTTTCCCCTAAGATTTCCGGACGGTCTGATGATTTCAACCAAAAACATCCATGCCTGTTCTGCCTATCCTTTTCTGCCTCCCATCACCTCGGAACGCGAACTGTTCGCCCCAACTGACTCCGATGTCCACGCGAGGGTGCACAGCAGGAGAGTCGGCTCCCCAGCACTTCGGCACGGTGGCTGGGGGGGCTGGGGGGGTTGTAGGTGGCTGACACGTGTTGGTCATGGTGTTGCATGGGTGTACCCTATAGTCTTCCAAGACCATAAAAAGAGTTTGGTTGACCTGGGGTCGTAGTCTGAAATCCTTAGCAAAACAGTGGTTTCTTTGGTTGTGCAGGTTCCACTCTGGTGTGCAAATTCCCCATTCTGTACGCGGGGACCCTAGACCAAGGGGCGGCTTTCGGAGGCCGGCGACGGTGTACTAGCATGGCATGTCCGGTTGAAGCACAGTACCCGGGCCAGGAATCCTAGGATGTGTATTTTGATCCCTTGTGTAGACTGGTCTCTTTTCCTTCTTCCCGGGGGTCGGGACGGGACGCCTGGGGGTCTCCCTATTTGAGCTACACACCCGCATGGTGGTGTCCGGAGTGTTGGGAGAAAACACGACTGGAAAGATGGGTTTGGTTGTCCAACTCCATGTCTTATCCACTCTTGGCAATAAACACTCCATGTCTTCACGTCTAGTCTATGTCTATCTTCGGGAGATACATTTCTTCAGCTGGAACACGATGTGTTTGTGTTGTTGGCCAGCAACTGGGGAGTGAGGTCTGGAATGCAGGTCGATACAGGTGTTGTGTGTTGCATGTACCCCACCGCGGTCTGGAATCTGATCGTTTCTGCAAATGTCCGCTTGGGCCACTGGGAATGCTTGCTTGGTTGGAGCAGGTCTTGCTCCATAGGGGTACCTTGAGGGGCGTAGGAAGCTTGGGAACATGTAGTGATGCCAAGCCTGCGGAAAGGCTTGGAAGAAGAATAGGGGAATCTTGGTGATCAGGACCATTTCAATGGGTGTTCAATGGACTACCCTACACATTGGACACTGCTGGTAGGTTTGCGAACCGCAGAATTGATGGACTTCCATGTGTTCCATGCCCAGTGACACTGGATTGCCACCTGCCTTGGAAACTCTCCACTTGCCTTACCCCACATCTGCCAGACACCGGAGGCTGGAGGAGGGGTTCTCCTCTCTTCCTCCAGACAGTCGGAGAACTTCAGCCTGCCGAAGCGGCCTCACACCTCGGTTGAGAGCTCTCCACCCTCTTGGATCCCAAGGAAAACAAGAGAGCCCAGCCGTGAGCCGCGCGCTGAGCCGCGCGCGCAGCGCGCGCATCGACTACAATGGGCCCAAGCGATGAAGAGCGGCAACGGTGGGGGCCCAGGGCGATGTGGATGTGATTGGGGATGAACATCGGTGCTTGAACGGAAGGGAAGGGTAGACCAGATATGACCAGGTATTTGAATTCACAAGAACATGTCTCCAAGGACTCCAAGGGTTTGCTGTAGCTCTTGAAGGACGTATATGCATAAAGGTCAAAGCCAAAGCATGTCAAAGCTTAGATTTCCGAGGCTGTCTTAAAGCATCACACTGTGGGGAGCAGGAGAGGAGGTTTGTGGGAGGAGGGGAGTCAATTGTTTGGAACCATTCCTGCGGGTAATATTTGTTTCTTTTGTTCAGGTTGCAGTAATCACTTGCACAACATAGGCCCACATTCGATTTATTTGGACATTGATGTAAGGGCCCCCCTGACCAGAGAAAGCAACTCACCGGTGGCATTGGAAGATGCAACCCCCGCTCTACCAGCTGAGTGTGAAATGGCGCTCAAACATCATTGTGCCGACCAAATGAAGACCACATTGTGCCGTGATAATCATGTCGTGGTTTCATGATTTGCGCTCAAACACCGTTCTATTTTGGAAACCACATGAAGATATACTCTCCGACTCTCCCTGGAACTAACATGGAAGTGGAGTTCACCACCTGTTTGTAATGGATTTCATGGTCTTCCTTACGGGGCCAGGCCATTCTCCACGTAACCATGTTAGGGACCTAGGGAGTGTTTGAAAAAACTCACAGGTCTGCTCAAAGGTCCGGGGCTCGAGCCCCGGACCGCGTGTGCATGGCTTCGGTCGGAACCGTCTCAGGCGAGGAGAACGTGGAAGGCCCCAACCAGGCCCGGGGATGGCCGAACAAAGCGGAGACGCTGACGGTGGTCCCGTCTCTCACTGCTCCTGTTTTCATCTGGTTTCTTATTGGAACGCGTTGTCCCTCCCTTGGGCATCCCTTAAGAATGTCCTTCTTTTTCATCTCGTGTTTCTTTTTTTGCCGAAGGAGCATTGCTCAGGGCTCCAGCCGCTCTGGTGGCCTGCCATAGACTTGTAATGACTTGTCATGACATGTTCAAGGTCGCGATGATGTTCCCTTTGTAACTAAGGATCCACTGTGATCATCTAATCCAAAGAAGTTAGTTTCACTCACCCTCCAATGAAGCTTGAACTGCAAAAGCCTGGGGTGAAGTTCTTATTCCGTTGATCATTTTCGGCCTGCAGAAACCATAGCGGCAGATGTTAAGAGAACGCAAAGAGTTGAGACCATTGGGAACTTGGCATCCAAACCGTTCGTCTCGGCCTTGACGGGCATGATCACGGGGCATGTAATGACAGCAGCCTGAGGGTGTAAAGAGAGCCCAGAAAGTTCGACTTCGTCGACTAACCTGACCAGCTACCCAATACTGGGCAATTTGGAAGGAACGAGCGTGCGTCCACTCCTCTCATCTCTTTTCTCTTTTTGGGAGATGACTGGAGGTTTTGACTTCTGATGTTTAAGCTTGTTTAAGGACATTGGAGAAAGTCTTCGCACATTTGTTTGCTCCCACAAAGATATCATGGCTTGCTGGATTGCCATGACCCCGAATGAACCAAAGGGTGAATGATCACCAAACCCCAAATTAACTTCTCTGAGTGTAGTAAGCATGCTGATTCATACTGATGCACAGATAGGTTTTAAAAAAGGAAGGGTACATGGGTATACGGACGGTATACGGTATACATCCCTTTTGGGGGGAGACCCTTCATACCCGTTCCATCTATTTTGGGACCACTTGATGAAATTCCACTTGAACCCCTCCTTTCGTGAACTCGTGAACGGCAGGACTCTTCTCCTGACCGCTCCGAACCTTTGGCTGAGCCTCCCTTGGAAGAGGCGCCGATCACAGCAGGGTGCGGAGTGTGTTTGGCGTTTGGAAGGAATTGTATGCTGCCCAACTTCTTGTTACGTTCGTAGTAAGAATGCTACTAGTAGTGATGCCAGGAGCCCCGTTCGTAGCGTCCGATCGCTCCTAGGAGAGGTTTTTTGATAGTTTTCTTGGTTCTTGGAATTGACATCGAGTTTTGCTGCCCACCCATGCCAATGAGCATCACCACTCTTCAAAATACCTCTGCGCATGAGTGGCAGGACGCGCACGAGTAGTGCACCTTTAAGAGCTGTGCACTTGGATTCGCATTGCCGCCCAAACAGTGGGGAAGAGTTACAACACGCGGGGTGATTTCCATGTTGAAAATCGAGTCAGAGTGTATTTGTTTTCTACTGTCTAGTTTTTGCAGCTTCACATCCTGCATCCTATCACTACAGAGGCCCTTTCACTTCCTGTCAGGTTTCTTTCACCCCTCTACTGCTCCTCGTTTCCACGCAGGAGAGCCCGGTCGAGGAGCGCGCAGAGATCCTTCCGGCCCAGGAACACTCCATCGCCGAGGTCGACCAGGCGGACAAGGTGCGGGCGTCGTTTTGAGCCGGACAAAAAGGTCACCGGGAATTGGCCAGTCCGGTTTTCCTCAGTTTCCAGTCAGCATGGCTTTCGTTTTGGAGCCTTCCAGAGTGATGGGATAAGATCCATGTTAGATTCATGCCGTCATAAAACCCAAACGTAAAAAAGATACGTGAATACGTACGTTGATTAATACCGTACTGTTAACACGTTTGGAGAGTGGATACTCCCACTGCAGTTATTCTTCTGCCTGCAGGGCGAGCCGAAGAAGAGTTGCCCTCCGCAGGTTCCAGCGGAAGAGTTGCTCCTCGGCTGCAGAAGACTAAATGTATTTGTGCGATCTTTTTGATGTGTGTGTGTGTGTCTTTTGCAATGTATACTATATGTTTGTGAGTCATCAGTTGTGTGTGTCCATTTGGTGGGGGCAGACCTTGAGGTGGGTTTGGGGTGGTAGCAGTGTTGAGTTCTGCCGAACAGTTCATTCATTCAAAAGTCGAGATTGTGCTTCTGGGGTTGTGCAGGATGATTCATTTTGACTAGAAACCCATGTTGAGTTCTGCCAAGCGTGAAAGAATATGAAGCAATTTTAAGACTGGCCTTGTTGAGTTAGAAACCGAAGTACGTTGTTTTTTCCATCACAATCCAAGTTGCTTAGTAGCCTGGAGTAGATCATGTGGATTCTTGGCTTGAGTTACATGGTTTACAGTTTACAGCTCCCTGTCCGAAACCACAAAGAAGCGGCCAGTCCAAAATAAGAGTGTACCAATGAGTGACCTTTCATACAATGAAATTCAAACGCCATTGTCCACCCCAAAAAGGACCAATCTGCCTTTAGGGCCCCCGGAAATCCAGATGAACACCTATAGGAGCCTTCGAAGCCGGTGGATGCTTGATGCTACGACTTGGGGACTGAGGCTTTGGGAAATCCTTCAAGGCTCGAACTCCTTGGAGCCCTTCCTTGCGCGGATCTCCGCCGAGCTGCTGAGACTGATGAGAAAGGTGGATCTGACCGCTGGACCTCTGAAATGGTCCTGCAGACAAGGGGGAACATGGACATCGCCCAAAAATGGCTTGGGTGAAGCTTGAGTGACAGAAAATACGGGTGTTCTTCATGTTTTCACATGTTTTCGGTGCTTCGACATGGGCAACACGAGTTGCATGTTCTTCTACAGGTGTGCCCCTATATATATATAAATAAGATGAACAAAATGTATATGGTATACGTATATTATATATATATATATTGTATCAAGGTGACTCGGAAAGTTCTCAGGTGTCCCATGATGTTCCTCATGTTTCTTCGTGTATGCCATGTGTTCCGTTTCCACCGGGTTTCTGGCCGCATCAACGACTATCCCACGATGGAAAGCCTTCACGCTTTGCATCGGATCGTCAGCGCTCCACTTCGGACCCTTGAGGGATCAAAGGTCTAAGAAAAGGGCTGTTAATGCTAGTAGCTTCTTGCTCCTACAGTGATAGGCCAGTTTCGCCCCGAGTCAGTAGCGTCCGATCGCGAACGGTTCGTAGCAATGCCAGGAGCCCCGTTCGTAGCTTCTTGTTACTATGTTCAAAAAGTCGAACGTTTCGGCATCACAGGAGCCCTGAAGGTCTCGAGAATAGCCAGTTTGGGAAGTTGATAGGCTTTTCAGAAAATCTCCCCGCGATCGTGAACTCAGATCCGCAAAGCAAACATATTAGACGTGACTTTGTGACCTCATGGAATTCTTTGCCAACGCAGTGTCAATCAGTGTCATAAAGCCTTGAAGTGTGCATAGCTTTGTGTAGTAGGGGTTGCCAACCAGATACCTCTTTCCACTATATAGCAAAGCGCAACACTATATAACGGTTTGTGCAATGATATTCTTCCTCTCCAACAGACTGTCCGACCGTGGACCGAGGGTTTTGGCACATCAAAGAGAGCTGCTGCGGCAACTGGGCACCGTGCTGGCTGGTGAAGTGAAGGATGAATGAATGAGCGAGCGAGGGAGGGACGGAGAAAGGCTAAATGCAACGAACATGTGGCGGTTGAACGAACCATAGTTCATGAGCTTTATGCAGCTTGTCATCTTAAGGTGTAAGCCCGAAATTTGAGGGAATTTGATATTTGCTGATCAATCACCGTCCATGCATGATCCAGGCTTGTCTCAACAAAAGCAATCACACAGAGGTCTTCACAATCCAAATGGGGGAGGGTTACATTCATCTCGCCAGTCATTTCCCAGTCGTCTGGACAGGAGCCCGACCTCCGCCCCCGCGCGTTGAAGCTCCTGGAAGCACTGGCACAGCACAGGCGCGGGGGAGCACAGGTGCTACTGGCCGGGGCCAAAGACTTAAGAGTGACGCAATGAGCCCCAACCGCTTTTTCAACTTCATCCATCTTCATAGAATGCCTTCGACTCGGAACTCAAAAGCCAAAAACCGCCCGCCAGTCAACACGCCTTCACTGCGGAGAGGCTTCCAGCCTTGAAGGGCGCGAGCCTCACGGAGCTGCTGCAGCAGCTGATCCGAGGTCGGGCGCCGAGGGCTCCGGTGGCCCGGGCGAGATTGTGAAGGAAATGGAGGTGATTTGCCAGTTAGTGTCTTTTTGGAGTTCGGAAATGAAAAATCCACAAAGACCTTTTTGATCCTTTTTCTGGGGAACTTCCAAAAGTGAAGGAGGTGTTTCTAACAATGGCTGGGTTCTTGTTGGAGGATGTCTTAAAATAGTCGTCAGATCAATGGAATTCTAAACAGCTGCAACTGGCACTTTCTTAGTGCCATTATCAATATCTCAATCTGTAACATCAGTGATCAAGCCAACCAGGGTGTTTTTGGCAATCCACGCACAGCGCCTCAAACATCGCTGTGTAATTGGGCCATGTGATGTTGTGAAAACGCCTTGGAATTCCAGAAGGGATTAACTTTGGTTACTTTATGTGTTCCTTTTGGTTTTGCAAAAATGCCTTGGCAATCTTGGTAGAAGGCCTTCTTGTGGCATCAAGAGTGAGTAACAGTCACGAGTGCGCACAGTCAGTTGCACCGTGAGTAACTAGCCTGATGGCCCATCAGAACCGGTCCACTGGGGAGTTGATCCGATCAGAACCGACATTGCTGTGAGGGCAAGCTGTTTGGAAGGTGTCTTGGATCAACCACCTTTTGTTTTTTTTTTGAGTCTCGAGAGTCAGAGTCTAGACAGTCCAGCCGTGTGGAGAGGTGAGGCGTTGCTGCGCTTCTGTTTCGAAAGGAGCGATGTGAGGCAATGTGTACCAATCATGGCCAGCTTGCGTAGACAGGCTGCAATGCGCTAGCCGCACGAGGAACGATTTTTGACACGGCGTTGTCACTGCAAACATTGTTGGCTTGATCACTGTTTCGCAGTTGCCGATTCAAACATTGATCGCGGCCCTAAGAAAGTGCCAGTCACGGCACTCTTGGAATGCCCCAGAAATGGTGGTCTAATGCGTCGCAAGCTTTTGGGAATCGGACTTCCGATTGATCCGACTGGATTTCAAGAAGTCTCCAACAATAACCCAGATGGAGCCATTAAGCAGGGTACGCACGTCCATGGTCAAAGAATCAAGTTTGATCAAGTTTGTGTTTTGTGTCTTAAAACGACTATTGCAGAGCCTGATATCTGCATGCGTATACGTATTATTGATTTTGATTTCTTGCATTGTTGCTCCAGGATATCGTTCATGTGTCGTGCTATCTCGATTGCTTGTACACACTGCCTTCGTACACCTGGGTGTAACTCAAGGGACACGAAAGGTGCGCCAGACACGATCGTCAAAAGATGCCCCCAGATGCCATGGTAGGGTAAAACTAGCCGAACACCAAAATAAGACAGACAAACAACAAAAACATACGATTAAAGTTTCAGCGGATGGTGGTACTATTTGATACGGTATATGAGGTATTTATTATGTGTGAGTCTTTCTCAGTTCAAAAAAGCACCCAGTAGCTACAAGAAGGTCGTATAATTGTCTAATTGCAAGATCTCCAAGCCGATAACACACGTATGCCCGTGCTCACCCACAGCCACCTGAAACCCGTCTCCAGCTGCTGCGCAGTTTGTGGTGCCTGGCCTTTGCTGCAAGCTAAGCCCTTGAACAGCGGCGGTAGTGGCGCTGGCCTCCAGCGTGCAGCGCTGAGGACGCTACGCACGCCACGTGGCAAGGGAAGATGCTGCAGTGGTAATGACCTTATGGGATGGAACTTGAATCGCGAAAGTTTGTATTCGGAAAAAGGTCGCTCTGCCCTCCAACCTAGAAGTTTGATACGACCAGGTCGTTGGTGACACTTATTAAAACGAACTGGTGACTGACTCATGAAAGCTTAGGATTTGACACGTGTTTTTGTCACTGGAGATCGGTGGATCTCAGTTGCAACAGGGAACTGTAGGGCCGACCTGTAGGTGTTTGATCAGCACCCACCTGATTTTAGTTTGCAGTCACAGACCTCGAAATGTTTGAAGTGAAAAGAGTCTAACCCGAAGCGAAGCTATTAAGGCTCCTGGCATCGCTACTACTTGTAGGAGCAAGGACGCTACTAGGGGCTCCTGGCCTTACTACTAGTAACAAGAAGCGATTAGGAGCTCCCCAGAGGCCAAGCAGCACGAAGCAACTGCATGTTTGAGATCCAAAGCCCTCGTTGTGAGGGATCGGTGGCCTTGGGGGATGTTTGCGAAGGGCTGGTCGTCCTGCGGTCAAACTGCAGGACATATATATAAAATTTTTGTTACGAGGTGGCCGCCTTCAAGTTCTTTTGTCTGAAAGACGCGGAAAATGGAGAAGAACTTTAGGTCCTCAGACAACACTTCTTCATCCTTCACTGTCCTCACCATCTCTTCCTTCGGTACCAAGCCTGAAAACTGGACCATTAGATTCGAAATCGCCAGATTTTATGGGAACCCGCTGGGAACCCGCTGGAACCCTCCGCACGCCGCATGGACGACCTGGGCGGAGGCTCTACCGCTCAGAAAACCAAGTCTTTCGCGACGCGGCTGGCGACCTGCAGCTCGGATAGGGGCTGAGGACGATGCGCGAGCGCGGGAACTGAGCCGATGCGCTGCAACAGACCGAGATCAAAAGTGTTTGACAGGAAATTGGTCACAATGCTGAGGGGGCAAGATCTCTTTGATTGGGCATATCTATATATATATATATATATACAGAAAGGTTCTTGGAGGTCTTCTGGGAGAGAACATGAAGCAATTCCATGGATCCAGTATGATCCGCGAACCAAAAACCCAAAACAAATAGCTTTCAGGATTTGTTTGACCATGGCTTCCAAGTCCCATGGACCATTCCCCTTGGACCATGGTCGCTGCCATTCCCGGCCTTCCCAGTCCGGACATGCTCCACCGGCGTGCGCACGAGGTATCCGGCGGCCTTTAAAGCCTTGACCGCGCTCTTGCCGGAGCTGGCTGCATCGCCGGAGCCTGGCCAAGACATGAGGGGAAGAGACAGGACGAGAGGTGGTACCATGTGGTACCTGATCATTGAGCATTGTGAGTTTGGTGGGGCAGAGAGTAAGATCATGGCAATTGAACTTGCTCTTCGATCTTCTCGTGAAGCGATTTGAAGAAAGCCAACCAAGAAAGAAGCAAAGATCCTGACCCACACCTTACGACATAGGTTTGGTTTTGCACTTGTAATAATACCCAGAAGCCAATCAACACATCTGACATCATCTGACCTAATGGAGAAACAGGTCTCGTTCATCCTTGGACTACTGAGGTACCGGCAGTACCTGCAGTGCCTGCGCCCGTACTTCCGGCAGAGAAAGAAGGCTGGGCGACCGACTCGTGCCCCAGTAGATTCACCAAAACGGACAGGCACGCTATAACTATACATAAGAATAGCTATTTTATGTATATATATATAACATTATATAACTATATATTACCTGGATCTTCCCACTCTGAAGAAATTCTGCCTCTTTATCTATAAAACCAGCCAAGGTTGGCAGATGTTACACAGAAGATTTGGTCTATAGAAACTGGAGATCTCCAAAGGGATGCCTTGGGAGAGGTTTTTGGGGCACCGGCAGGTGTATACAAGGTCTTGGGAGGACGTGTTTCGTAAAGAAGCAACATGTTTGGTTCTTCCGTCGTGTTCACTCGTTTTGTGTTACTTGGTAGAATATTGAACATTTGGTTAACATGAACTCAGAACTGCGTTGAAACAGCGCTCCTTTCAATCGCCCCGCTCGGAAAGTCCTCGCAAAATCAACACGGAGCCGTGTTATTTTCGGACTGGGAAGGATGATGAAGGATGGGTCCAAAGATCAACATGTCAATAACAAGGGCCATCCTGTCGACCATCCTGAAGAAATCTCTTGAATACCTTTTGGTAAAAACAAAAAAGACAGGACACCCGGCCTGAGTCGGCCTGAGTCATCCTGAGAGTCCTGCGTTGTTTGCCTGTTTTGGGGGGCACGGGCTGCGCCGCGGGCTATGTGCGGCTCGCAGGGCAGCGCGCCTTGGTCATGGCGTTGAATGGATTGACCTCCTCCTGTAGCCAGGCCCCGTGCACGCAGTCGTGGCGCATTTGGACCTGAATTCAGTTTCAGAGAGCTGTTATTGAAGTGACTTTGAACTCCTTGGTATCCGTGTGTGGACCGTTTTTAGACTGACTATGACCCACTCTAGTAGACCCCTAAGTCTTAGACTTGACAACTCGTAGACTCGCATCCTTTCGCGCAATTTTTCTGATCCAACTATCTCTTCTTTCGCACTCAGAAAACCATCAGACGCACTGCGACTCGTCCACTCGGCTGGGCGTCCCATCCCATCCGAACCCTTAGGCACGCAGTGCGGCGCTGGACGCCCTGGAAGTCGCTTGGGAGTCGTGGGTCTACGTGGTTCGACCCCCATGGATGGAAATGGAGGTCGCCCCAGCGCCTTCCTGATAAAACCTGGATGTTTCTCAATGGTGGACAGTCTGCAGAATTTTCTGGGATTGGGATTTGAAGACTGCACTGCACGTGCGACAATTTGCGAAACATGTCTTGGCATGTCTCAATTGATACCTTGGTGGAAGACTGCACAATGTCCGTTTGGTTTTCAGGACCAAAAGCCATGAAGTGCCTCCTCAACAAACAATGGCGAAAGAAAGAGTAATTACGTTGATTTCTCTACGACTTGCTGAGAAGGACTCCGGTTCGAGCTGATCGACTGACGTCGCATAAACGAAGTCCACTCGGTAGAACTGCTTAGGGTGGTATGATCTCCGAGCAGTTCCTCACCATGTGGTCAGCTGCACTGCTGAGGAGTTGCTGCAAAGCTTTCCCCAGACGACGGACTTCGCCGAGGCTGACGAAAAAAAGCCAAGGGGCCCGGATGAGCACATCAGCAGAACAAGAGGAACATCAGTTTCATACATACAACTATTTATCCTCTAATTGCCCTTTTGGGGGATCAGGGTGAGTGTTTCAAGCACCTTTTGAAAGAGGATTTGGGCCCAGAAATTCTGGTGTTCACCCTTGCAGCAGCTTCGATGATGAAAGTGGAGACCCCAAACAGATTCGCTTTGGTTGGTGATGCGGTGGCAGTTCAAAAATAAGGGCAAACTCACAATGAAAGAACATCTCACAAGCCATGCAGAGGTCGTCACTAAAAGCTATTTTGGGGGGACCCAAACCTGTTAAGGTGGTGAAACCATGGAGGGCATCCGGAAAACGAGCCTTTACAGCTCCCATGTCGCCTCCAGTTTGGAATGGGTTTGGGTTTCAGTGTCCTTAACCGCTTCCCATGGAGGTCTTGGCCTCCAAGCTCTTCCAGCGACACACTTGCGCTCATCAGAGCCTTGGTCAGAGCGAGGAGCTGCGCAAGATCCGCCGCGCCTGGGCAGAGATGGGAAGTCGGTTTGCAACCGGTCGCCCAGTGGTCAAGTCGGTTTGGGGTACTGTATTTACTGATTCGTGCCGCATAAGGAGTCACCAGTCACCATAGGTATTATATGAAGACATGTGAAGACTAAATATGTATGGAAAAAAATAAAATATGTGTGGGGAAAATGACCGCTTGGGGACATGTCAGACGGGACTTTAGGACACGCACGAGGCACGACACGACCCCACATAACAATCTCCATATGACATCTCCTTTGTTTTTTGGGCTAGGACTTTCCTATCTCATCTTATGTATGCAGAAATTGGGGATGTCCACAAGATCCCATCTCACAGTGGATGTTCTTGGCACTGGATATCAGCTCTCCGTCTCCCACCCCTGCTAAGTTAAAAACAGATGGTCAGTCAGTCAAATGAAAGAGAATCACTTGATCCATGTCTCACATGGCTTCGTGTCAGAATGCACTATGACATCCTGGGTGGTGTTGCATCGTTCAACCTTGACTTGGGATGATTGAGCCTACGGGCTAATACTTTTCAAGTCATCTGAAGCCACCACGTGAGACCCACACAAGCCACGATTGGATAGACCATGATGAGGACCCTAAACTGTTGAAAAACCCCGAACTGCCAGGGCTCGCAGGGGGCACGTGACGTGATGTCCGGCGTCTCCGGGCCGGTCCTCGTGGAACGAGGTCTTCTGGAGCGATTGCTGAGTGCTCTGGAACCACTTCGTGCCATGGAAATCCTCCTACCTTTGGCCACTTGGGTCCAGAAGTCCGCTGCTTTTTCAAGACGGCGGGGCGTCTCCTCCTTGGAGCGTCGTGTTTTCCACGCCCGCCTCCATTCAAATGATTTCTGAGGGTATGGGACGAAGGATGCGTCTGGTTGGAACCATTGGAACATCCGATCATGGGCATTTCTTGCAACGGTTCTGGAAGGACCATGGATTGCTATAACTATCCAGTGTTACACATTTCAATCAAACGACCCGACCTGACGGACGGCAGGTCGCCGAGCCCGGTGCGTCGGGCTCCGCGGCGCTGCAGCTGCTGCCGCTCAGCGTGCGGCGCCTGGTGGCGAGGCGAGGCGGTGTATACTGGCGATAGACATGTGTCAATCTATGATGTTCGATGATCCTGAGTGCCATGTGATCGCTGCCCTTTGGAGTTTTTCTCCTGGCAGGTCTTGTTCTATGTGGTCTGAAATGATATGTTTGCTTCTAAGTATTTCTAGAAACAAAAAAGAACTTTATAGGTGTTTCGAACAGTTTCTAGGTTCCATCATGGCTGCGGCTATGGTGGGGTGGTCTCGTTTAGTGGGGCATGCAGACTCAGTGCTTTGGCAAATGCACATGTGCCTTTTCAGTTGCAGAATCCACAATCGTTGGGCCACCCACATTGGTATCATAGAATCTCGTGAAGATAGTTGGTTCAACATGTGGACCACCTACAGCTCAAGATAGTTCTAGCTGGTTTGATGTACTGGTCTCCACAACTCACCCGAGACTCACACAGCATGTCTTGCCCCCCAGGCAAGCGCTGGACCATTTGGTCTTGATCCTTCCTGCTCTCAGCAATGCTTTGTCCTGTGATGTGGCAGAGACACGCCTTTCGTCAGCAGATGGCGAACTCTCGGTCTGTCATGTGCGAGTCAGACTTGCGAGGAACAAACACGTGTTTTGGGTCTATCCTATAACCAGTATCAGTCACAGTGGATGATGATGATGATGACGACGACGACGATGACGACGACGATGATGATGATGATGATCATGATGATGATGATGATCATGATGATGATGATGATGATGATGATGATGATGATGATGTTGTTGTTGTTGTTGTTGTTGTTTACCAACTGTTACAGAATAGGACAGACCCAACACATGTTTTCATTCTTCCCTGGGGGTTGATGGGTTGGCCCTCCGTTTTTGAGCCAAAAGGCACCTTCGCGACACCTCCGAACCTCCGAGACGACCGTGACTCCAGCGAGCCAGGCGAGGAGGCACGCCCCCCGGGAATCGCACGATGTGTTCACAGCGCGAAGCACACAAATGACTGATTCAAGTTTCAACCCAAACCATACGCCGACTTCGGCGGAATCTCCCCCTTCTGTGCCGGGCCGCGGGGCCTTCTGTCCGGTCGCAGACCGACCGAAGACCCGGACCGAGGTAAAGCGGCGATCTTCTGCTTGGTGGACCTGTACTTGTCCGTGGGCGAGGAGATCCGAGTACGACGGAACCGCTGCGTTACGCTGCCGAGTACGCTGCGTTTGCCGGAACGCGTATGCCGAGTACGCCGGGTCGGTTGGAGTGCGGCGAGATTAGATGTCATCAGACCCAGATGGTGAGGGAAGACTGGGGCTAGATTGTAGCATGTTTGTCGAGAAAACGGTTGATTGGGAACATTTTGGTAGTGTAACAGTGTAACCGTAACCTTAGTCATCTCTCATGACTCATGACCCTTCACAGAGATGCCCCCCAAACAAACGTGTTTTTGGTTCTTACTGCGGTGATTGGCAACATGTTGGGCGTGCTAAATCCATCAGGTTTTGGTCGTGCAAATTCTGAGCTTTGATTTGTATGACATTTACTTCTATGGGTTGTCATCCAAACGGACCGAGAGGTGCACCGTATCCTGCGGAACTGTACTTGGAGTGCCAGGTTCGCAACACGCTCTGAATAGGGGGTTGCAGTTTCAGCCAAGTGTTGAGGTCAGGTGAGAATCAGAGAATCATGGTAATCATTAATCATGGTTCTAGATTCCTATGAGATGTGGGAATTTTTCGACATTCTCTCCAAAGATACACACATGTTGTTTCTCGCACACCATGTTGTTTCTTGTTTCCTTCTCTGCCAGACCATAGGTCTGAAGGTTTGATTTAAACAAAGGCCTCAACTCCGACCTCCTCCTCCGAGACCGCCTTCCGAGCGCCACGAAACCCGTCTGGGCGAAAGCACCGAGCTGCAGGTGGCGACTTCGTAGAGTTCTTGAGAGCTGCATTTGAGCTGCCCAGATGGGGGCAAATCCTTGCAGAACTGTTCCACCGGTTTGTCATGCAGAACTCACACCAGCATAAAGTAGACATAGATTCATAATAAATGTACAACGGACCACATCTCATATGGATGATCGTCGTCCCAGAAAGCGTTGCTGGTTGCAGGAGGCCATGGCTTTTTTCGAGAAGGAACTAAGCCCCAGCCAGCAGAAGTTGGTCGCCCTGCTCCTGGGACGTGAGTCTAGTCAGGGCAGCTGCGGGCCTGTAGGGAAGAGTGAATCACGCGGTTTGCTACGAAGGGTTCTCAAGCATTGACCCACACTTGTTGGTTCATATTTGGGATATGATTTACTTGGAAATACATTGTGTGTGTTTCACTTTGGGAACTCGCCCTGACCAACTGATGCTTGCCAAGCTGCCAAACGCAGCAACCCGCCGTGTTTGTGCAACTGCAGTGGACATGTATTTGGGCAGGGGGTGTGTCACAAGAAGACCGACCGGGCTGCCTAAGTGCGTGGCCCGTTTGGGAGATGAGCACATGTTTGTTTTCGACCAAGCTCTTAGGTTCAAAGTTCTAGCAACCCTCAGGTTGCTTAGTTTAATCATGTTTAATCGATCGTTTCTGAAATTGGGCTGGGACACGGGTCCTCTTGTGCAAGGCACGACATGTTTTCCCACATGGAATTGTATGAAAAGATACATTAAATTGTCGTCACGCACTTTTGCATTAACTTGTGTTGTCACTGTGTACTTGTATTCCACTGTTTCTGCACGATGGCGAGGTATGCAGAGCGACAACGGTGTGCCATCAGCGAAAGTTATGAGAAAGAGGAGTGCAAGGTTGGGGTTTTTGGGGTTTTGACCCCTCCAAGCACATGTTGAAGCTGCCAATCCGGCAGTCGTGTGCTTCACGGATCGTGTGTACCGGCAGACGGGAGATGCACCAGGTGGACGGAGGTTGGTGATTATGTGGCCATTAAGGTTGGAGAAGTTCATGATGTCTGGGTTTCAACGAAATAGGAGGTTCAGAATTCTGAGATTCACAAATGTGACCGACTCGTTTGCTCAGACCCTGGATATCCCTGTCGCTGCAAAAAAGAATGCACCGTGCAAAGCACGATTTGTGCAATTCGTAGCACAAACGCACCTGATGTGCATGGGCTGGAGCGAAATCAGAGATCTTTCCATTGGTAAGATCCTTCACTTCAAATGTGGCAATGGCCTGAAAAGCCGGTCCCAAGCTTGTGAGGTCTGAAAAAGACTTGGCGGACTCGAGACCATGTCACGAAGTTCCATTCAGGTAAGGTTGGTGTCATTCGACCAGTGGGTGGATGTAGATGGAAGGCTGAGTTGCTGGGTCATGCTTCTTGAGCAAAGTGGTAGAACAGGCAGGAAAACAGTGGATGTTCGCTAGTTTAGATGCTAGTTTAGGAGGTGTTAGCCCACTTCGTTGTTATGATCTGTCTACGAAATCATTTGTCATCTCAAGTGCTTTGTGCTTCGTTGTTGACAAAGCCTTCAGACTTGGGCTGGCTTGATATGGTTACTATAACTTACTCAATTTGCTGAACTGAACAGGCCAACAAGTAGCACGGGATGTTCAATAGTTCACTCTGGGCTGGTACTAGCTTGTCCAACCACAAGACTTGAGCCACGCAGGCGTTGCAGCCCTGCACCTCCGAATTCGCCACGCGGGGCGTTTACCCCAAGCAGGGCGGCGGTGCCACTGCACCAAACCCCCCTTCTCCAGCGAGGGTGCAACTGCATCTTTGTCGTTGGCAAAGACAAAGTGGGGCGAAATTCGCATAGAAGTTAGGATGGCCAGAAACGAGTGGACTTCTAAGAACTTCTATCAGATCTTGGGGAGCAATCCTTCCACTCCCGAACCGTCTTAATCATTCGACGTTGTGAGGCCCGAACACCGCTGCCAGGGATTCAGGGATCCAGTAAGTTTCTGGCCACATGCAGATTAGGTAGACCTTAATTGGTGGTTCTGATTGGCGGCTTCGTGTGTTGAGAATCTCGTTTTGGTAGCTCATCAGTGTTTCATAGTGTTCCAATGCCACCAGTGTACCACCGCTCTGAAACGCGAGATGTCCAGTGCAGAAACGCGCCGCAGAAGCTTGAGTGTTGGCTTGGGATCTGCACAAAGGACAAGCCTCGTACCAGATCAGATGTCTTTGCGCGTGGTGGATTTCTCCCACTGATCAGTATCCGATATCCCAACAAAAACTCTCTCTTTTGGCCTCGTTTTGGAGCGATCTCCAGAAGTCAAACATCCGGAATCTCCAGTCGCCCGTCTCCGCGTTCAGGTCATTTGGAGGCACTGCGGATGGCCTTGAAGGACTGCGAGGCGTGGGCGGTTTGCCGGTTCCGGCTTGCAAATGGGAGTGCTTGTTGGGTAGCAGTGAGTGCAGTTTGGTCCTTCAAATCAACCAGTTGCAGTTTGAAAAGAGCAACTGATGGGATTTGATGGGTACAACTCCCATCAAAGGCCATCCACGAGCTTCAATGCTGCTGTTGGTATCATTTATTGTGCCCTCCATCTTTGAGGCCTCCATCTGAGCCACCTAGACCGGGATGCTTCACGAGCCACGCACCGCCCGGTAAGGCCTTAAAGCTGCGATTGCCCGCAGACGAAGAAGCCAGTGCGGCAGCCCAGTCGACGTTTGCTGGAACACACTGGAACTTTCGCGGAGGGATCTATAGATGGTTTCTATCGGTGCGTCCCTTTCAATTCCCACGAGTTGTTTTTCATGTTGTAAATGGCGCCTATTCGCCTATCACATGTGTTCAGGTATAATATGCCCTCACCCATCATATTACAGCAATAGGCAATAGATTCGATATGATTTAATGGTACATTGCCTGGTGATGGGAGATGAGCAGGTCAAGCAATCTCCTCCATAGCATTCAACCCAAAAGTTGCAACTTGTTGTACGCTACAGGTGTTTCGGAGGATTTGTGTCTCAAACATGAATGGCCGCGGCCTCTTCTTGAAAGGATGGCGTCACTTCATCGGTCCGTCCGACCGTGGAGAGGCAGAGAGGGGATACATGGACAGCTACCGTCACCGTCGACCTACCAATCACCGTTTCGTCGACCGACGACGAAAGCGAGGTTGGCGTGGAGCGCTCCAGATCCTCTACGCTCGGCAAGTGTCGGGAGCCCGAATTGGAAGTACGTGGTCATGGACAGGTGATGGAGAAAGGCGGAGGAAAACATGGACACGGTGTCGTTTGTACCCTAGAACATGGGACATGACCCGGAAAAAGACACAGGTACTTGTACTATCTTGTACCCATTGTCTGAGGTACTTTTGAGACTTCATTTACATGGGTTTAAGATACTTAGCTTGGAGCACACCGGGACCTGGTCTAAACGCATGGCACACGAACTGCTGCTGTGCTTGGAGAATGTCTCGCCTCGTTGTGCAAATGTATCGATGTGCCATCGACGTTCGAAGTGGTCCAGTTGAAGGTCAAGAGTTTGGATGAATTCTCCCATGGATCTGTGGAAACTGACGCAGGAGGTGACTTGTTACCACGTGTCGAGTTGACTTGTTACCACAGGGGCCGACTTAGTGAAGGGTCATTCTGGATTCTGCAACATTTGGATCGTGTGTCTTCACGAGTCCATAAGGAGCAAAGCTCTAAATATATCTGCATATGGTGTAATTTTTGCTTGAAGCTTAAAGGTGCTTCGATCTTTTGACCATTTCCCGCCACTGGCTTGACCTTTTAACGTTCCATTTTGTTATGTGCCTTCCTTCCATCTCTTACATACTCAGTGTGTTGGCAAAAACCGGTCAACATTGAGACGCTAATGGTGCACCGAGTATGGGAGCCCATGAAAAGGTGATGTGTTTGACTAAACAATGGGAAAACGGGGTGTTCGGTGAAGTAGCAGGTCGGTATCCTTGGGGTGCTCGGCATTGACCATCCAGGATACGTGTATCTGTTTGTTTGTCAGACCAGTTCGTGAGCTCTGCAGGGCCTTCCGACGGACTTCAGAGCCCCAACTACAGCAGGGCAAGGACAGGGAAGACCGGGGCCTTTTGGCCGGGGGCGCATTGTATGAAACCTTCGCAATTTACCGTGTCAATGACCAGATAGAACATGTGATGTAGTAGAAACCTTTCAAACTTTGCTCATTGTCTATCTTATAAGTCTAAAAAGGGCACCCCGTTTTTCACGTAAGAGAAGACGCTGTTGTCGGTGAGCCCAGCGGCTCGGTCCAGTCCACGGCAGCACGGACGACGTGGTGCATGGCACCGGGACACCCTGGTTGGGTTTTTTCCACAGAATGAACAGAAGGTCAACTACCTGACATGATCAACCTACCTTCCAACAGAGGTTGAAGGACCCTATAGCCTATCCCATAGGTACCCCAGTAAGGTCCTATAAGGTCACTGGCTACCTCTCTTGGTTGGTGAGAGGTGCTGAAAGGGTGCCAAAATGCGCACAGCTATGTGGGAAATTGGGAAATGCCTCCAGTTACACAGCTTTGAGGCTTCGGTTGACTTCACTGCCGACACACTGAGGCACTGATTGCCCAGGGACTGGCAGCTCACTCCTGCATGTCTATCAAACCGCCCAAAAAGGTGAAATGTACTAAGAACATGAAAGAACGTGAAATGTGCATGAAACAAGAACTTGACTTTGCAGCTGTTCGTGGTCTGAGACCGCCAGCCTTGCATGAAACTTCCGAAAGGGTAGACGAAACAAGAAAGGGTAGACCCATCTTCATTCCATTCAAACACCCGAAAGGTTTTGCTCAGGGTGATATTCCCGAAAGCGGCCAGGAAGACCAGGTGGCGCTGGAACTCTACGGTGCACTCAGCGCTAGCCCGATCCGCCCGGGCACCGGGCCACTCCACAATTTCCAGGGCCATGTGGAAGGTGGTGGTGGTCAAGTTTGGCGAGCCAAAGCAAGAAAGCAAGGAAAACACTTGGAAGTTACTAGAAGTTGAAGAATGACTCCACACACACAACGAAAAAAATACCCTGTTCATCCCTGTTCAATCCTGTTCATTGTTGTTCATATGTGGCCTTTCCACCGTCTGGCTGTAGCTTAGCTTGGAACCAGTGGCCACTGATTCTTGAGGCTAGATGTCGTGGTTTTGTCAGTTGTGACGTGATCACAGACCCTGGAACGTGAGGTGGGCACGGGCAGAAGTTGAATTGATGTCATGCTGTCTGGCATTGAGGCAGCTTTTCAAGAGCATCAGGTTGAAGTCTACGGTCTCGCCTTGTCGTTTTATGGGCAAGGGACTTTGAGGTCCTTTTGGTGTCAATGTGTATCATCTGCATAAGTCAACAACCAAGAACCCTAGCAATCCGATATGGCAAAATCACCCTGACAGCAACTCCTGGACCAATACACCTGAAGTATATATATAGAGCTATAGATATAGATACATCATAACACCACATAGACCATCTCCCATTCGGGATGAAAAAGCTGACTGGTTTCCATGTATGAACATGTCACTGGTTTTCGCCCGTCAGCGCGTGAGTTTGTGGATCTGGAGTCGAGTTTTGTGCGCATCGGATGGTTGAAACAGCAAGGACCTAGCTGCCTATATACCTGTTTGTTGTGCTTCGGGTGTCCAGACCTGGCTTCATTCTATGTCGTATACGAGTAGTCGGTCGTCCAGGTGATCCCTTGGACCTATAGCACAAGGATTCTTTGGATGGGACCACTTGGCAGATTTGGGTGAATTTTTGCAGAGCCAATCCACGAAATACGACCCAGTTACTTTCAAAGTTGTGGCTGGAAGCAATTTCTACCAAGATTGCTGTGAACATGGTCCTCAAGTTGTACTCTTTTGGTTGCTCCATTCCATGAATGGTTTGTTTTCACATGTTTCACGGTTTCAGTGTTTTTGGAGGTCCAAGCGGTGTAAGATTTCTTTCTTCAGTAAGTTGGTAGCGAGTGCAGTTCACAGCAGTGCCCTCGTCTTGAAGACTTCATATTGAAGACTTCCTGTGCTTGCAATGTCCAGTGACGATGCAGAAGGAGGACGACGCGGGGTGTTCGGATGGTGTTGTTATATGATTCTTTACCGTCCTTACCCAAACATGAAGCACTTTTGTAGCAGTTTCAATAATATATACTATATAACCAGGACAATCAAGATATGCTTTTGGATGGTACCAGTGATTGTGTTAATTATTTACACAACTAAATTCATGTCAAAGTCTAGAAACAAAGAATAACATAGAATAACCTTATTCACAAATAAACTAATTGGTCAAACAATTCAGATTGAGAAGACACTTACCAATCAAGCAGCCCTAGGTCGGTGTTGAGTTTGAGCATTTACGATCCACCGATCCACGTTGTCAGCGTCATCCCCATCACCACTGCAGATGGAAATTAGGACTGTGAGTGGGTCAAGACCATTATCTTTGAGATAAAATGGTTGAAACATGGGATCATCCAAAGTTCATCTCAGATCCTTCGATGTCGCTTAGAATCCAGTGCTGGCGGTGCTGGTAGACGGATTCCCTGTCCATCGATGTCCATCGCGCGCGCTGGCAAGCCTGGCAGGACCTGAGAAGCGTGCGCGGAAGGACACTCTGAGGTGGGTTGAGTCCCTGAGAAGCGTGCGCCATGTCCCTCCGAGTCCGAAAGGTTCGGTTCGCATGTGATTCTACGGACCGTTCGGTCCTGACAGAAAGGGCAAGAGATGTCAAGGGAAAGGGTTCCAAGAGAGGCTCCAAAGATTCTGAAAAGAGGAGCCATCGATTGGAACATCCTCCTCCCCCCTTAGGCCGAGGGGTACAGGATGGTAAATGTTTCTTTCTGGAGCCAGCGATTGAATGGACAATCGCAGATTAGTGGATCCCTATGGTGGCGGAGGGTGTGCAAGTACTTGGGTCTGTCCGAACTTGCCTGTAGAGCCGTCCGTAAAGAATGATCGCATATGATTATCACGATTTGGGAGAAAGGCCTGCACTTTTGACCATCATCCACTGGGCCTTGGTAATAGGATAGACGCAAGCACTTGCATTGCTCGATCACCATGCAGTTCTCGTTCCATGCCGAAACATTTGACTAACACCCCAACAGCGAATGGTATGGACTCTTGTCCTACAAGCGTTTGAGCACTTAGGGATTGAACAGACAGATAGGTTGGACTGGCAGGTCACTCTTTAGCCCACAAGTGGTCAAACCTTGGCTCCGTCTCGATCGACGCACCTTCGAAGCACCACCGGGACACCAGGCTCCCCCGTGGTTTCGCCCAGCGCGGCGACCCTTCCGCGGGCGCCCTGCGCGCGGCGCTGCTGCGCGGTGCCGCGCTGTGGCACGAGGGGCTGAAGCGGTCCCAAGCTCTGCAGGTGCGCGGACGTTCGGTCTCGCGTCGCCATGGACGGCGATTCCACGGCGACCTGTGCATTCACTGTCAAGATCTGAAAGGGGCGGGAGAGAGCGTTGAACATGAACGATGAACCTTTGGAGAGCATCAAGGGGCGGCAGCCACGTGGTGTCGAACACTGTTTCCTGAACTCTTTGGAACCGCTGGCGGTCCGAGCAGGTCTCCTGGAGGTCCGAGCAGGTCCGAGCAGTGTGTCAATCAGCGCAACCAGCTGGCCGCCAATAGCTCCAAATTGTTGACCCCCCACGTGTAAAGCCTCTATAAGCTTCTGGCACGGAGACTGGAACCTAGAAATTCCTATTCCATGCAGTTGGCCGTTGGATGGTACTCAAAGCTGATTGGATGGGCTAGCTACCCTGCCACACCACCAGGTACCCGGCCTTGTCGTGGATCAACCCATTGCTGCGGACACGGTGCCCAGTGAGTTTTTCTGGGTGCGGTAGATGGCGGATTCCAAGATGGAACTGAAAGGACCTGGAGGTTTGGAATTCTTGGATGTTCTTGGGGTCGGGGGACGTTTTCTTTGGTCGTGTTTGAATAAAGGTCTCGCTGCGGATCCCAGGCAGCCAGGTGTCACTGTCACAGAGATTCACAGAGTAGATCAGGAACTTTGGTCTATGGTTTTGCTTAAGTTGATGTTTGAGCGAATCCCCTAACCTGGGGAATATGGTTTATATTTTCCTGGTTCCTCAAGCAAATCCAAGACTGGTTACCTACTGTAGTAGTGGTTTACCTGCATCCACTGGGGTGGTAGAAGACAAGAGATCAGGGGGTTGGGGTTTTTAAGGGTGACACACGAGGGCAACGAGTGTAGATGACTGCACGGTCTGGAGATTGGCGCTTGTTCGGATCGCTTGTCGGTGTGGAACTTCAGGCGTGCCATGTTCCATGAATTGTCTTTGATTGTGCTTTTCTACTAGCTTCTACTACATGAAATCCTTTCCATTTTCACGCTACCACTGTCACACTGTTTATCATTGAAACGCAGTGGCTTCCTTCCTTCCCAGCTCTTTCACCATTCAAGGCTACCTGCCTCCAAGTTCACGCGCACACACAGAGCACAGGTAGAGGAGGCTTTGTTTGCTGTGAGGCCAATATAGGCCTAGCCTTTCAACTCCTTTCATTCAACCTGCCCTAACAGACCATGGCCGCTAAAGCGTGGTTCCTACCTTAACTCCCAAATAGAAAAGTGATGAAGCAGCGTGGTTCCTGCCTTGTTGTTGCAGCGAAGCAAGCGTGTCTGTTCAGTCAATCCATGGAACACAGCGCTTTCACACAATGGCGCTTTTGCGGTCGTCAGGTGCTGTTGCGGATTCCCAAAGAACTCCATTTCTCCAGGCGTCGGACCGTCGGATATCCTGCAAATCATGACCTCCTTCAGGTATGAATCTGAACACCAATGCTGAAGGTATGAAGAGGATCCAGAAATCAGACAGAAAATCCTTGGGTTTCTTGAACAATCACTGGGACTCATTGGGGCAGTGCTGTTTTCTTCAACTGCTCCGACAGCCGCACGGGGCCGGGGATTTGCTCCTTAAGATATAAAGCAAATGAGGCGAAGGGGGTCAGTTGTATCAGGGGGGCTTTTGGCATGATGGATGCGAATGGCCCTGCTGCCCAGGGCTGGATTCTCAGTCGAAAGGTTCATGTCGACCTACATTCCAGCGAATCCTACAGACTCCCATGAGGTGACAGGATGAATACATGTTACACACGTCCTTGTGAGCACCGAAGCGTTCTGCAAACAAGACGCTTCTTGGAATCCTCGGCCGACAGGACAAAGAGACCTGTCATGTTTACATACCCAGGATGACCCAGGTATTCAATCCAAGGTGACGATGGTGACGGAACGACCTTGGTTCCGACATGCTACAACTCCGCAAGGTCAAGCCAGTTCTACCACCTGCCGTCCTCGTGGGGTGGTCGTGAAGTGAAGATGTGAAGATCGCCACAGGCCTCGATGTGAAGAGATCTTCAAGAACCTCTATGAAGCCTGCGAGGTGAGGACGGAGAGGAGACACGGGAAACGGAGACCTTAAGACACGGGGGTGATTTCACCGTTTTGGGGAGAGGCCTGCGGAGGGTGGGCCCAAGGGAGGGTTGGAAGATCTCATAGTATAGAAGTCTTGAATCATCTTGAAATCCATCTCCAAACACTGGAGTGAAGCTAATTTAGCAAACACATTAAATACAACAACCTTTATACAACCAGAAGCACGGGAGTATTCATTGAAAGATGCTGGAATCATACCAGCTTCTTCCGTTCGGGGTCACTGGACAACCAGCATGTAGAACTTGAAGGCGAACGACCGTTGTGGGGGAAAATTCAAGCAGCGCCAAGCAGAGTTGTGTGATGATAGGATTTCGCTTCAGGTCTTCATGTCGCTTTAGGTCCACGGCGTCCACGGTAGCGCGGACCCCTTGGGAAGGTCCCCCGACCGGACCCCGGCCCAGGCTCTTCCAAGTGCAGACCCCGAAAAGAGGGCCGAGGCCGCCGATGCGCTGTGCCACTGGGCCTGTGATTTGGAGTGCCACCGTCACGCAGTCTGTTCAAGGAGGCTCACAAGGAAGCCGCATGGTGGCCCTTTTTGTGTGGCTCACCATGCAATTTGCCACTGAAAAGGCAACCATATACTGCTGGAGCATGCTGGGAGCTTATGAACATATAGTTGGTCTTCCGGGGCGGTGGTCTCTCTCCGAAACGGCCGAAAAGCTCGAGGCTTTGCCAAAGTCTTGCAGAGCTGCGCGGCCGAAAAGTGCACTTCGACAGCACAGAGAGAGTGCGCCTCGTCAGCAGCGGCTTCCGCCGTAGTTTCGGCTGGATGGGGGGCAGGTGACGTGTTGGTGTCGGGCGTTTTCGTTGTGGCGTGATTTGTATTTGATGATATTAAGCTGTGAAAACCCCACCTGCCAGGTGAGGGTCGTTAGATTTGATCGCTGTCCCACCTGGTTTTAAGACTCGGTGTCCAACCTCCGCGTCTCCGGGGACCACGGCGTTCGGTGCCCTGACGGCGAACGGCAGAAAAGGTGCCGTCCCAACGAATGGGAGAGGCACCTCGCACGTCCGAGAATCCTCATTCATTGGGAGTTGTGGAGTCTCTAAACATGCAGGAACTTCAAAGTACAGTACTTCCCTTGTCCCGCGTCGCGATGATAGACTAGACATGGAGAAATTGTTGCCAAAGTCAGGTGATTGTCCTTCACTGGTGTTGATCATGTACAGTCTGTTGTTTCCCTGTGCTGCACAAGGCCAAGGCCCTTCAACTTGGCCAGAAGCTTGGGGACATGTAGCAGCAACGCTCTTGTCCAATGTGGAGGCCATCGGGGGAGATGGCTGGGGACCGGGGGAGAGGTCGCACTGTACTCTAAATCCACCAATCCATCAGGTAAACAACGGTAAACATGCCCAGGTCATCCTTTGACCAGTTTTCTTCAATTTGTTTGCAGTGCGGATCCAGAATCCACACACCAACCGGAAGTGCAAAGGAAAATATGATCAAAACCCCTCAAAGAGGTCAAAACCTGGATCTGGATGTCGGCCTACACATCCCGACCTCCAACCGGACCGGCCGTGAACAGGACCGCTTCGGCCCACCGTGCCCGCGCCCGTGCGCGATCCAGGACTTTGCGGATCACCCTTACGTCGCTGCATGGGAAGGACAACGGCCATTTGCTTCAACAGATTTTGTTGATTTGGATGGCCATTCCATAGATACGACTTGACCCCCCCAAAAAGGGAATAGGTAGGGAATGTAGATATATGTACCAGGACGCATTGTTCGCCCCCCCGACCAATGAACTTAGGGTCTGTTTTTGTATTTTTTGAGTTTTGGGGGTTGCCTGCTATTCGCACAGAGTTGCTGAGGCCTCGATCATTGTTAAGCGCAAATATTTCGACTGAACGTGTCCCAATGTTTCATCTCCATCATCGAATCGCCAAAAGCGATGACAAAGCTTCAAACCCCAAAGGTTCCTTTCGGATGCTGGATTTAGAGGCAATTGACTGCCCCCAACAATAGCTTGCCTGGGGGCAAATTGCCTGAGTCCTGGCGTAAAAGTACTGTATATAAATATATGAGTAATTAGTCTAGTACATCTATGATGATCTATCTATGTCTCTTCGCTTCTTGAAAGACTTACAGTTGTGTTTTTCTGCGAGCAGCTGGAGTTGCCACCCAGCGCGACCGGGGTCCCAGGGGGAGAATGCTGCGACTCACATCAACTCCCTTGCGGCGATCCGAGAGTTGCTGCGATCTGCTACTCCCAACAGGTCCCAAAGCCTGAAATCATCATTTAAGACACAAATCGAGAACAGGCAACTAACAAAGTCCTACCCCCTACCGCATCTCAAAAACCCTGAAAGCATTAGAAATCTATGGGGGACTCCTGTTTTTTTTGATCCAAAGTCGTGCCTCCCTGATAGAACGCCGGCGAACTCAGCTTCACATTTTAGAAACCTTGCTGAGATTCGATCTGGTCCCATCCACCGTCCCAACGAGTTCGGAGCGTCCGCAAGGATGGCGTCCGGAACGATGACACATCGCCATGAATCGCCCATGGTCGAACTAGGATGGATGGACCTGCAGAATCTCCGGAGGATTGTGGTGATATGATCAATTAAGGGTGTTTCTACCATGTGCTCTCCTGTCCAAGCAAGCAATGCCATGATGCCAAACTTCTGATTTGTACTGTTTTTCGGAAAAAGATCCCGTGACTGTATTGGTGGGGGTTGTGATATCCTCCCTCGACATGCTTCCCTTGAACAATACATCCTGCGGCACCTCACAAGCTTTATGTTAAGTTTCCAAGAGTTCCATTCCTTTGCTTCCCTTATAGTGATTGGTCTTGTCATGTCATCGCGTCCGGCGGGGAAAAAGTAGAGCTGTTATTCTATCCCCGAACCATTAAAACACCATCACTGTATTTCAGAGTTTCCCCGAAACCATGGTTTTTCCCCAAGAAGACAGTCTCAAACCCATGACCGAGTCTCAAACAAATCTGACAAGTGCCCACTTCACGGTTCCACTCCAACATACTGCCTCATGTTCTCATTTTCGGAACCACCTCGACCATCGGTTCGGTTCCCGTCCCAGGCAGAATGCCGCAGCTTTGCTCTGCAGAGCCCGAGCTGATTGCTGCGCAGGCGCAGTACGTGAGGTGCGGTTCATCGACGTGGTGGGACGGGTGCGATCAGCGATCGGGACGTTGGAACAAGGAAAACTGGTCGACACGAAGTGTGACACGAAGTGGTTCTCCTTCAGTGGTGTTCCTGGCTTGAATCACGCAAGTCAGAGAGTCTCCAAATGTTGTTTTCATCTGGATTCCACGATTCTGGAAAACGATCAACAAGGAGGTGAGTGGTGTATCATGTTATATCTTTGTTCTTACGTGTTGTTCGGCAAATGGCTGTTCCATCCAAACGCCTTTTTCAATACTGCACACATCCCTTTCGACCAGGACGGTCTATGGGTGCTTGCAGAGCACAGTGACGGAGATGCCCAAGGAGTTGGATGAAGGCACCGTGATCCAAACCTCCTGCAGTCAGTTGGGGTTGATGGTTGATGATGGAAGCGCTGTGTGTGTAGGGTATCCAATTGATTGGACGATCGCCACATCGAAATTCAACTTCCTACTGTTCATGGGGCACCACCCATTGTTTTGTGACATCAAAGTTGTTTCTTCTGTGTGTGTGAGTTTGGGAGCAAGTATCGCTGTCCTCATCTCTCCTCATTTGACCGGAATCCAAAAATATGTTGCCAAGTTTCGCCATGTTTTGGGTATCCATGCTACACAAAAGCTAGAAATCGCTGTGCCCATTGCTGAACCAGTAGGGCTCAGTAGGGCACATTGGTCAAATCGTTTGACTCATAAATGCTTGATCTCAGAGACTAGAATGGTTGATTCCGTTTGATTCCGTTTGCAGAGACCGTTTCATCATCCACCAGTCTCTCCAAAGCAGAACCACCACGTCTGACTGGTTGGTTGGACCAGCTTTCATAACAGAAGCATGATCAGCAGTGGTTTGTTGGCGAGGTTTGCCAAGTCAGCCAAATCCTCGGAGAATCTGACAAGTTTCAGGATGAACATTACCTGAGGCAAACCGTTCGTTCGTTCGCCACCTTCTACAAGCATGTCCTCTCAGTTTCTATCAGTTGCTTAACCAGTTCACACCACTTAGTCACAACCACTCGCATGTCCGGAAAGCGACAGACTGCACCAGGTCTCTTTGCTTTCTCCTGGCTTTGCCTCCTGACGCGCCGCTTCCGCGGACCTGAAGGTTCTGCTTTGGTGCCAGGCCACAAACCTCGCGCGCAACTGCGACTGGTGCGTGTTTAGGGCCTCCAGGAAGGGCGCGGCAGAGGGGACAGCCCTGAGGAAGGCTCTGCCGCTTTTTATCGGGAACGAGTCGGAACGCAGGATCGAAGGCTTGCAGTGCTTGCAGCTCGCATTTTCTCAATTTCAGGAAGCATGGGTGGCAAGAATGTCTGCCAGTCCAAAAACCGAATCAATCTCTGTCAACCAACATGTGCGAAAAATCAGAACAACTGCAGATGAAAGGTCTCTGAAACTCATGAGTCACGAATTAGCCTCGGTCCTTCCCATCGAATATGTAGGGGGCAGATTGTGGCAAAGGCTTCGGTGAAGATAGCCTCACCCAACAACCCTTCAAATCTAGCCCACAAAAAGGATTGAAAACAGGGGTACCCTACTGAAAGGTATTTTTGATTTTTTATGGCTGCTTTTTGCTCACTGGGTTGATGCTGGGTATTTGGTGCGACCTGTTTGACTCTTGGGTTGAGTATATACTGTATACTCCACACTCTTTATTATGTCCTAGGTGAACCCTCGAATCAACTTCATGCAACTTTATTTTGTCGTTCCAAAGCTCAGGATCACTCAGGCCCTGGCGGAATGTAGAGCCAAGTGCTCGATGGGACAAAAGTTTGGATCTTCATGGCTGATGATTGGGAAGTGCGGGCTCATGCAACTTGAGGGAAATCCATCAAAATCACAAACCTCGATTTTCCTCGCAAACCCTGGGTAAGCACTCGAACCCTAAGGTATGTATGATTCGTTTGGTCTCCGGACCAGTTGTGGGCCCTCGAAAAAGTTGACCAACGATTTATGCGTCAATGACGACCGGTCAAAAAATGCAAATGTTGTGCAGTTTTGGCAGGTCTAGGGGATCGGCGCTTTTCCGTTTCCAGTAGGTGGAGGTCTCCAAGAAGCTCTCTCCGTGTGGGTCCGACCATCTGCAGGGGTCGACTTCTTGAATCACTCCTCAAAGCCGAATGCCGCCAGCGAGTGGGATGAGGCGACAAGCGAGTCGGTCAGCAGTTTCAAGACGAGGAGAAGTATTTTGAGGGCTCAGTCTTCAGCAGGAGGTTGGTGATTTGAGTCTCCAAGACTTCGAAAACCATGCAGATGTATGCAGATGTTTGTTGATATTCGACCAAGGGAGCAGTTGGGTTACTTGTGTCTTTGAATTCAGGAGAGGGGCACAATGTGTTGCAACAAATGATGGGAATGGGATTCACTGAAAAGTTCTAGAGTGGTGCCTGATTGATTGCCAAGCCAAGAGATGTAAGAGTGAAGCAATCACGAAGAGAAGAGGGATGATCCTAGGATGCACATCCAAAATCTACAACATGTTGAAAGGCCAAACGCTTTGAGGCAGCACTGCGACCGGTGCATGTTCACCGGATCTTCAGTGTCCACAATGTGATCACGATCGGTCCGATTGCATGCTGTATTTTTTTGAGTCTTTTGGGGCCTGGGTGATGGGAATCATGTTGGGGGGTTGTTGGCCGCCTGGATGCACCACGTCTCGAAATGTCGACTTCACGAGCGCGCACAGCTGTTTAACACGTTTTTGTTTGGGCGTTCACCGCCCGATGCGCACCAGCTCCCTGTATTTCGTTTGTTTGGCATGTGGATATATGGGCGCTGGACCGTGGACCGCTCGTCAAACCGCGCCCCGAGGCGTCCGGCTCCATTGTCGTCACCAGCCTGGTGGATCTACAGCCAGGACACCCCACCCCCACCCCACTGCGGAGGCGGACAAACGCCGCCCTTCTGCAGCGGGGCGGCTGTCAGACCGGATGTTCCGCGAGAGTAAACCTTTAAAGTTGAAGGTCAGTCTTAAACAATCATTTGAATTCAATTGTTTTGAACCATTTATGATATGACTATGAGACAACCCCAAGGAATCAGACCCAAGAATAACCCAAGACATGTGTTTCCTTGGGTGAGCGAGTTCACTTCTCCCAGATTGTTCGCAGTCGTGTCCGTCGCCGCTTTGGCGCTCCCTTGGGTGATTGGTGGCTCCGTCTGTTTCTTTGGACCTCGACGCGACTCGGAAGCAAGTTCTATTTGGTTCATGTTCGAGGCAAGGCGTCGATAGCTTCTCAGGACTTTGGGCCCAGCATGACGGAAATGTTAAGCAAAGTGATTGATTGGTTAGACCGTGGGTCATCCTCCCTCTTTTGGAAACACAGAGAATGTTGCTTTGGCCTGAAGCTACTGCTCCAAAAGTTATTCAAGCTCGTGAGTGTGAGTGTTCAGTTTTGAGTTGGACAAGTTTCGGCGGAGGATTTTGATTTGTGGTGAATTATCATAGAATAACATAAACCATTCACCCTGCTTCAGAAGATGGTGCCCACAAAACCAAGCAGAAGAGCGTTGCCGTTGCACGATGTGTGGCCAGATAGTCGGGCAACGGATGAAAGGGAAATCACCCAGCCAGGTTGGGTAGTCGTGCCTACCTGTAGTGGTTGGCGATACCCATATATACTGTATACCCACATGCTTTGTGGTTGTGGCGGCCTGAATTGCTGAATCTGTGCACGGAGGAGACGAAGTTTGCATCAGCTATGGCAACTTGTCGACGCTTTGGCTTTGAAAGTATCTCAATGTTTGGAGGCCACAAGCTGCGTCCGAGGTTTGCAAGTCCTCTCATTGTGGGAGATCAATCAAATGGCTGTTCTCCCGATGCATTCTTGGTAGGTTTGACTGCCCAACAGGTGCACTGCAAAACCCGACCCCTCTCGGTCCTGACGGTTTCGCCCTCGGGGCGTCCGGGCTGGAGCGCGGAGGGCGGATGAGGTCTGGAGGCCGTGCACAGCGCGCTGTCTCACAGCGCTTCATCGCACTTGAGGCCTTGATCCGTGGCACTCGAAAACCCCCAATAACGAGAAGTGTTCACAAAGACATGTCTTTTGGCATGAATTGACATTGAAACTCGTGACAAATCTCCAAAACGAACTGGGTTTCCGGACAAATGGAGGATCTTAGCCTAGTCTGTTCCACCCATCTACTCAGGAACCCGCTGCTTTTTCGCACCTATGGCTTCACCTTGCCCTGTGAGCCACTGGGCAAAGAAGGCGACTTTCACAAGTGATTTCATGTCATTATTAATTCATATTATATGTATATAGATCAATTAAGATCATCATGTATTTAGGGCTTCCACAAACACTCATATGTATACACACGTCCATCATTCTTTTTTGTGGCTCCGAACATACAAACTCTATCCTGTATGGCAACTTCCCCCAAAACGACCCTGAACGACACCAGCTCTTCTCTCGCTCTTCTGTGCGCCGTCGGAAGTCCGTCGGTCTCGGGGTCCTGGGTGGTTCGCCCCTTGGGGCTTCACCTTCCTTTCAAAGGTCATTCTCAGCATCGGTGCCTGCCTTCGGTTGCGCTGCACGCTGCGTGTTTCACCAAGAAACAGGGTGACACCCTTCGGTCACCGGCTTTGGCGCCACTGAAGGCGATCGATCTCCCGTGATGCTCAGGTTCGAGCCCTGTTGCAGCTGCACCTTTACGCAGGAGGAGCTCGTGGCAGGTGCATGTGCTGAGGCTGCCACCGCCCAGGTACAGGAGCGACGCAAAGAAAAACAAATGCCGTCCGGTGGTGATGGGGAGAAGCAAGCTGTACAAGTGATGCAACCGAAGATTGCCTTTTTACATCACTTTGCTCCTCTAAAGTTGCTAGCTAGACCAAACAAAGCCGAAGAAACATTTAAAAAAAAAGCTCCTCTACAGTCGCGGGTGGATGGACGTCGTACACTGTCCGCCCGAAGCTCGCTCCCACCGGGTCCTGGGGTCCGTTCGGAGCTGGACATGGGGACCGAGTCCGGTCCTTCATCTCATGGCATGTGAACATCCCCCATGAAGGAAGCCTTCAAGGACGATAAGGACGATCCTTGTCTCTAAAATGCAAACCGACCCGCCGTCTGAACAATCAAGGGGGATATGTGAACATGATGTCATCTCCACTTCGAAGAGAACAAGCCATGTGCCTGTTGAGAGAACCCCCAGTTGCCGGCGACCTGGGCGCCCTCTCTCCCTCCCTCCTCACACACCACGTCAGAAGTCCCTACGCTTCACTTGGTGCAGACCTTTGCACGCAGAGTTTAGCCTTGCACCTCGAGTGTTGGAGAGCGTGCAACGGTCGAAGGATCTACCCAACTTGCACCTCAATAGCTCCTTCGTCACGGATGAGCTCGCAGAGCTGCTTCAGGCCGCGCTGGACTGCCGGACTATGACTATGACTATGACGGTCGAGTCACGATCTCCATACTGTCCGGTCTTTTGTGTGCAGATCGTGCATGTGTTTTGATCGGAAAAAGGCTCTGAGGAGGGTGTGGGAGACCGGTCGACGCGTTTGGCTCATACGTGTTCTGAATCCCAGAGAATCCAGTCCAGTGATCCCTTCTTTGTGGATACACAATGCCACCCCAAGTGGGAACCAAGCATCGATTCCCATCAGGAACGATATGAAGCTTGTCATGTCAAGTTGCAGGTGGGAGAATGCATATCGTGGATTTGCTTAGGGTGCTTGTTATTTTCCCCATGGGTGAATACCCTTCTGGAGAAGACTGTTTGTTTTTTCCCTCTTCCTGGACAGCAAATCCACGGCATAGACAGATCATGGTGATATCAGGCTGTTGGATATGTTGATGTCTAAGCTGAAGGTATTGTGTGCCGATGTTGATCGTTTCTTGCGCAGGCCCCGAATCCAAGGTCCGGTTCGTGGAAAACGCTTTGGAGTCCCAGTCGCCAGAGGTTTCCTGATATCCTGCACCTTTAAGATCCTCTATTCTGCCTCAATCGAAAGGGTTTGTCCTTTGAAGAAGTTGTAGGAACGCCTCCTCCGGCGGTAGATCCACAAAATACAACCATCCTGGAGGATATAGATAGAATTTGAACATAATTTGAACCAATCCTTAAAAGCATGACCAGTTTCCTATTGTTTTTGGTGATTATTTATGTTCATCCATATTCTATCTAATCCAGGATGACTATAGATACAAACTGATGCCTTTCCAAGTAGGACCATTTTCCCTGTCAATGTGGTTGATGTGTCACCAGGATGGCAACATTCCTGAACACCATTTGACCGCTTCTTGCGCGTGCAAGGCCTACCCGAGCGGCGCTGGAAAGCTACTGCGGTTGCTCTGTGCCGAACGGTTGGAGAAGATGGATGAGAAGAGCAAAGAGCTGAAGTGTCTGGGACTTCTCGTTTGTGCCTGTCCTTACTTGCACATGATTTGGATGATTTAGGACATTGACATTCTCCAGGAATCGGACCAATTCCCCGACCTTTGCCACTGAAAAAGCATCTCCACTTCCATCCGATGGCCTCGAAAGAAAGGTGTGGAATGTCCCTGCCTCACGATGCTTTGTGGGAAGTAGACTTCAAAATCCTAGGCGCCAACATGTTCTCCCCCGAAAAATAGCCTCCCAAAAAGTTCCCAGATGGGCTTGAACATTTGGCCAGCTTTTGGAGTGCAGACAACATCATTTATTCGGCTCCAAAGAGCTTCCCAAGGATCTCAACTTCGACCAACCACGCGAGCCATGCGAGCCGCGTGCTGCGCAGTGAGTGTCTTGGGCGGAAGAGTGCATCGAGCCGCGTCCGCGACGAGCCGAGACCCAGGCAGGAAGCACTGAGTAGCAGCTTAGCACCAATATGGACCTGGGTCAAAACCAGAGACCTTGGTTGACCACCAAAACTGAACAGAATACAGGTCAACCTACCAGGGTTTGGGGCTTTAGGTTTTGACTCACAGCCATATGACCATGCATGTTTGAAGATGTGGGTTCCACCGTCCGAAGAAATCTTTTAGTCTGGCGTCAGGTCTTTCGTGGTTCAACCATTTTCGATCCATCCGCTCGTGCTGGTCCCTTTGGGGATTTTCTATTCGTCACCAAGACCTGAAGCTGTTGAGGAAAACTCGAGGGAAGCGGGCAATCGATCCGCGATAGATCCGCGTGGCGGCTGAGGTATCTTTGCCTTCGTTTGCATGTGCAGATCCTGGATGAGCTTGCAGGCGCCGAGCGTGGGTGCCACTTCTTCCGGTCTTCGTTCGCAGAGCTTTCTCGCCACGTCTCGCCATGTGGGGGGTTCACAGTGTTTGCGGAGAAGCCCTGGACTCGTTCGGGGAATCCAAACCGTCCCCCTTATTGTCGAGATCATGTCTGTTAGATTACGAAAGCCAGCCTTCGTAGAAGGCGCTAGCGGAGTTGTGTCTGGCGAACGAAGTGAGTAGTTAGGGGGTCTGGGGGGGTGGCCCGAGAAAGGGACACGTCAACTCAGCACATGCTGGGGGAGGAGGGTGCTCCGAGGGAAGGTTTTTTGAGGTTGTGTTGGAGGTGATTTTTGAGGGGTGGTGATGCAAGAAATGCCAAATGCATCATTTGCATCATCTGAATGGAAAGGTGTAGTTGGCACCTTGCAAGGTAGAGAGACCTAGGGTAGCTATAGTGCAGCTACCAGGTATAGTACTTCAAGTTCCCTTTCCGTCAACCGCTTGAGAACCTCTACACACGCACAGCAAGCCACAGCCTTGAAGTCTCATTCGTGCTTTGAACTTGTATAGGTGTGTAAGAGGTATAGCAACATACTACCTGAGAAGCTGCAAAACGAAAGCCAGCGCTTCCCTTTCTCGAGAACTGCGCGTCGAAGCATAGGATAGAAAGGTAGGTCTGCACCCTAGATCCACCATCCCACTCCATTTTCTTTCATTTCTCTACGGCAGCTCCGCTTGGCATTTGCCAGGTGGAGGCGGCCGTGAGACCTCTTACACACCTACACAAGTTCAAAGCACGAATGAGACTTCAAAGCTGTGGATTGCTGTGCGTGTGTAGAGGCTATCGAGCGGTTGACGGAAAGGGAACTTGAAGTACTATACCTGGTAGCTGCAAGCAAGGTGCCAACTACACCTTTCTTTTCAAGGTGGCCTGAACAGAGTGTTTCAGGGCAGCAAACCGTGGTCTCAGGCCACCTTGAATTTAGCTTGAAAACCACAGCTACATAGCTACCCTGGGTCTCTATACCTGGCAAGGTGCCAACTACACCTTTATTTTCAAGGTGGCCTGCACAGAGTGTTTTAGGGCAGCAAACCCTGGTCTCAGGCCACCTTGAATTTAGCTTCAAAACCACAGCTTTGAAGCCTCATGCGCGCCATACCTGGGAACAGAATTGTAGCTACAAGACCTTTATTTTCAAGGTGGCCTGAACAGAGTGTTTTAGGGCAGCAAACC